AAGGTGTAGGATACAGTATCAAAGGTTGACATTAAGGTGTAGGGTACTGTATCAAAGGTTGATATTAAGGTGTAGGATACAGTATCAAAGGTTGACATAAAGGTGTAGGGTACTGTATCAAAGGTTGATATTAAGGTGTAGGACACTGTATCAAAGGTTGACATAAAGGTGTAGGATACAGTATCAAGGTTGACATAAAGGTGTAGGGTACTGTATCAAAGGTTGATATTCAGGTGTAGGATACTGTATCAAAGGTTGACATTAAGGTGTAGGATACTGTATCAAAGGTTGACATAAATGTGTAGTGTACTGTATCAAATGTTGACATAAAGGTGTAGGATACTGTATCAAAGGTTGACATAAAGGTGTAGGATACTGTATCAAAGGTTGACATAAAGGTGTAGGATACAGTATCAAAGGTTGACATAAAGGTGTAGGATACTGTATCAAAGGTTGATATTAAGGTGTAGGATACTGTATCAAATGTTGACATTAAGGTGTAGGATACTGTATCAAAGGTTGACATAAAGGTGTAGTATACTATATCAAAGGTTGACATAAAGGTGTAGGGTACTGTATCAAAGGTTGACATAAAGGTGTAGGATACTGTATCAAAGGTTAATATTAAGGTGTAGGGTACTGTATCAAAGGTTGACATAAAGGCGTAGGATACTGTATCAAAGGTTGATATTAAGGTGTAGGATACCGTATCAAATGTTGACATTAAGGTGTAGGATATTGTATCAAAGGTTGACATAAAGGTGTAGTATACAGTATCAAAGGTTGACATAAAGGTGTAGGGTACTGTACCAAAGGTTGACATAAAGGTGTAGGATACTGTATCAAAGCTTGACATAAAGGTGTAGGATACTGTATCAAAGCTTGACATAAAGGTGTAGGATACTGTATCAAAGGTGTAGGATACAGTATCAAAGGTTGTCATAAAGGTGTAGGATACTGTATCAAAGGTTGACATAAAGGAGTAGGATACTGTATCAAAGGTTGACATAAAGGAGTAGGATACTGTATCAAAGGTTGACATAAAGGTGTAAGATACAGTATCAAAGGTTGACATAAAGGTGTAGGCTACAGTATCAAAGGTTGACATAAAGGTGTAGGATACAGTATCAAAGGTTGACATAAAGGGGTAGGGTACTGTATCAAATGTTGACATAAAGGTGTAGTGTAGTGTATCAAAGGTTGACATAAAGGTGTAGGATACAGTATCAAGGTTGACATAAAGGTGTAGGGTACTGTATGAAAGGTTGACATAAAGGTGTAGGATACTGTATCAAAGCTTGACATAAAGGTGTAGGATACTGTATCAAAGCTTGACATAAAGGTGTAGGATACTGTATCAAAGCTTGACATAAAGGTGTAGGATACTGTATCAAAGGTTAATATTAAGGTGTAGGGTACTGTATCAAAGGTTGACTTAAAGGTGTAGGATACTGTATCAAATGTTGACATAAAGGTGTAGTGTAGTGTATCAAAGGTTGACATAAAGGTGTAGGATACAGTATCAAAGGTTGACATAAAGGTGTAGGATACTGTATCAAATGTTGACATAAAGGTGTAGTGTACTGTATCAAAGGTTGACATAAAGGTGTAGGATACTGTATCAAAGGTTGTCATAAAGGTGTAGGGTACTGTATCAAAGGTTGATATTAAGCTATAAAATGCTGTGTTGATTAAAGACTGATTTTAATATGTAGGATGCTGTTTACAGACTGGTATGAAGGTATATAAACTATTTTTACAGAGGTTATAGCTGATCAGACACCCTCCATTGAAGCTGTGTTAAAGGCTGATGTTAAGAGAACAGAACTACTAGCTGAAGAGAAAACATTATTTGCAGAGCAAGAGAAAGGAATAATGAAAAACTCTGATCGTTTAAAAGAGGTAGGAAATAATATTGTTTGTTTGCAGTTAAAGCATTTAACACACCTGGTCTAAATGACTGTGTGAGCTGATGATGCAGCATAAGTGCTCCAACCATTGTCAATTTTTTCTTAAAAACGTCTTCTGTATAAAAACCAGGTGAGTGATTCAGGCCCATTGGGCCTCTTGTTGAGTTTTGCCATCAGCTGCCACCTGAAGGTTTTGACAAGTTCAACTAAAATATATGTGTATGCTTGTATATGTGATAGTTTTCTGGATTTTATTAGGTCACCTGAGCTTTAGCTCAAGTGACCTATTGCTATCCGTTTTCGTCCGTCGTCGTCCGTCGTCCGTCGTCCGTTAACATTTTACATTTCAAACTTAAAGTCAAGTTCTGCTGGGCCGATTGAACTGAAAGTTGGTAGGAATGATCGCCTCATGGTCCTGACAAAGTGTTGTTATTTTTCGGGTCGATCAGAAATCCAATATGGCCGCCACGGCCGCCATTTTGAAAACCTATTTCAAACTTAAAGTCAAGTTCTGCTGGACCGATTGAACTGAAAGTTGGTAGGAATGATCGCCTCATGGTCCTGACAAAGTGTTGTTATTTTTCGGGTCGATCAGAAATCCAATATGGCCGCCACGGCCGCCATTTTGAAAACCTATTTCAAACTTAAAGTCAAGTTCTGCTGGACCGATTGAACTGAAAGTTGGTAGGAATGATCGCCTCATGGTCCTGACAAAGTGTTGTTATTTTTCGGGTCGATCAGAAATCCAATATGGCCGCCACGGCCGCCATTTTGAAAACCTATTTCAAACTTAAAGTCAAGTTCTGCTGGACCGATTGAACTGAAAGTTGGTAGGAATGATCGACTCATGGTCCTGACAAAGTGTTGTTATTTTTCAGGTCAATCAGAAATCCAATATGGCCACCACAGCCGCTATTTTGTAAATACCTATTCTAAACTTAAAAACAATTTCTAATAGGCCGATCTTATTTAAAATCGGTCTAGGAATGATCAGCTCATGGTCCTGACAAAGTTAAGTTAACATTATACTTAACTATTTTTTACTCAAATTGGTACATATTTCAACAACAAAAATAAATACTGTAGGACTCAGGTGACCGTTAAGGCCCATGGGCCTCTTGTTGATGTCTTAAACCAGATATTCTATATGAGCAGATTCAGATAGACTTGTTCAGGTCAATCTGGGCCTGTTAAATGCCCAATGGAGCATCTTATAAGCAAATAATATTCCTAGTAATGTTCAAGGACGTTTTTCTTGAGTTAGGTATATGTCACAGGTTTCATTCCTCCGTATATACATGTAGCATGGTCAGGTTAATATACACCATTTGATATAGTGCCCTATATATATCTAGCTAACATATAAGCCACTCCAAAGCGCTTTAAAGTACATAGATATACAATTAATACAATTAGCATATACATTAATCAATACAATTCTGAGGAATTAGCTGGAGCTGCCTTATCAGGCGCTAACTACTAGTCCCTATGCCACTCGGCTAATCTTACAAAGGAGGATGTGTCGATTCCAATTTGTTCAAATGAAAACCCCAAAACTATAGAAGTTGTTCATACAGAAACAAGCAAGTAAAAGACACCACACGCAACAGTCATAGCTAAACATAGGCAATCATGGACACAAAGGATTGGAAATCTTTTTGATAGCCAGAACTCTCAAGTCTAAATGTAGGTTTACTCAAATTATGGCTTTTTAAAGATGTAATGAAGAACATCAGTTTAGTGTCATAGGTCAGCAAGTAGGGATTTAAAAGGCTTTTATAAAATTTCCATAAAAAAAATTAATGGGTTTCAAACTTCAGGGTTTGAGAAATAACTTCTCGGAATTCCTGAAGGACAAGTTAAGTTTATGCCCTGCAAAAAAACAAGGTTAGTGGAGAGGGAGTATTCTTGAATCAAGGTGACCGTCTGTCTCCCCATCCTTCTGTCCCTCCATCCTTCCTTCTGTCTCCCCATCCTTCTGTCCCTCCATCCTCTGTCCCATCCTTGTGTCCCTCCATCCATCCTTCTGTCCCTCCATCCTTTCTTCTGTCCCTCCATCCTTCCTTCTGTCCCGCCATCCTTCCTTCTGTCCCTCCATCCATCCTTCTGTCCCTCCATCCTTCCTTCTGTCCCTCCATCCTTCCTTCTGTACCTCCATCCTTCCTTCTGTCCCTCCATTTTTCTGTCCCTCCATCCTTCTGTTCATGGAATTTTGTCTGGTGCAATGCTGTTCAACTTCTCAACCAATTTTTATGAAACTAGGTACACATAATCAGCATGTGTGCGCTTGTGGTTAACTGTATACTTTTAACTTTTGGATTTCCGCTTGGTAGCAGTTATGCCCATTTTACAAAAATTTCGTTCAAAATACTGTTAGTTCCCTTAATGACTGATATTGATGAAACTTTGTGTACATAATCAATATTCTAGGTAGCTGTGTGATTTATTTTTTATTTTCATTGTATTGATAGCAGTTATACCCCGTTTTGATTCCCAATTCTTAATTTTGTTGAAATTAAATGCAGAACAATCCTTAAATGAACATTGATGTAACAGATTTTCTTAAAAGGAGGAGTGTGTTTGAGTTAACCTGTTACAGTTTCACACTGCTAGCAAGGTCTAGATTTGTTGATTTAAATTTGTTCAAATCAAACTTCTGCAATTATAAATGTGGACACCCCTAGGAATCAAAGTTAAACATAACTCATCTTATTGTCTGTGAAGTAAAAGTTGACATAAATGGATAAATCTGCTGCCCAACAAATGGTTTCTGTGTAGTAACTACTGAAGGAATGCTTTGATGTTCGTGAAAATTTGTACACATACCATTAACATATATTACCCAGTACCCACTGATTTCATCCAAATCTCAGTATCAACATCTCCTCCAACAGGCAATACACTCACTTCCATGGAAATCTGGTTTTTGATATAAGTTTGAGAATCGTCTTAAGTCTGTTAATACATACTTGAGTATAGTTTTTGCAGAATAAAATGGGCTATTGTCAATTGTGCATTAATATTTGTTGTAATTGTAACTCTGGGGGACCTACAAGGGATCTAAGCCACACCTTTAATATGGAGGTGAAATTTTAACAGGGTGAACTCTTAAAACCCTTTTGGGCCTCTTGTCTTCAATGAATGATAAGATGTGTTATCAGTAGATGCTGGAACTTTGTAAAGACACATGCTAATGTTTTATTGGTGGCTTTACCAGGTATATGAGGAGCTGATAGCTATTGGATCTGATGCTGCCGAACCTAAAGCAAGGAGGATTCTAGCTGGTCTAGGATTTACTTTAGAGATGATGAACCGACCCACAGTAGCCCTATCTGGAGGCTGGAGGATGAGGGTGTCACTAGCACGGGCCCTTTTTCTGGAACCCACCCTCCTTATGTTGGACGAACCTACAAACCATCTGGATCTCAATGCAGTCATCTGGCTGGATAAGTAGGTGCATTCTGCTATATGTAGTAGCTTGTAGGTTTGTTAGACCAAAGTAACACGGGAAATAATTGACAATGGGTGACTAGGTACATGGCCTTAAAATGTCATAATAAACCTGATCTGAATGCATTGGTAGCCTCCCTTAGATTGATGTAAAACCTGTACTGTCTGGTGTAAAGCTGTATCTGTCTGGTTTTGTGGCTAGCTCTGGGTATTGATTCAGTTTCGCAAAAATTTAATATGTCTCCAACAAGTGCGTGTAATGGCGCACAATCATAGACCCCCCCCCCTTATGACTATAAAACACTAACACTGCAAATAATTCCTTTATTTTGTGACATTCCCTGGCCTTCTGCATCCCAATTTCAAGGCCATCTACATTCAAACAGGCTGCTCCTTGTTGCCAAAGTGCCAGGATGAGATATTTCATGTCAATATGAAGAAAAATATTTATAAGAGAACTGAACATTCATATTGGAGCAAAATATTTTCACTAAAACCAAAGGCTGATAGTTTAGGAATTTACCATCCCTATCAATATTTGTATTATCTCTATTCTTTCACTTGATAATTCTTAGTCAAAAATCATTTGTTGGCAAAAAACGTCTACAAAAATAAATTTGATCAGCAAATAAAATATAATTTTCGGCAAATTGTCATCTCGATCAGATTGCAAGAATGGCATTATTCAAGTTGTATATGTCATTAGCTCACCTGGCCCGAAGTGAGCTAATGGCGTGGTGCAGCATCCGTCGTCCGGTCGTCCGTCCATTGTCCGGCGTCAATATTTACTTTAAACAACTTCCTCTTAATAACCAAAAAGGCCTAGGGTGATGATATTTAGCCAGAAGCAAACTTTATCATGCTGGGATGAAGGGCTATTAAGTTTGTTCAAATGAGTGACCTTGACCAACTATCAAGGTCACAAGGGTCAAATGTCTTAAAATCTTCAAACCACTTCTTTTCAATAACCAAAAGGCCCAGGGTACTGAAATTGGGCCTGTATCATGCTGGAATGAAGGACTACCAAGTTTGTTCAAATGAATGACCTTGACCCACTTTCAACCTAATGTCCTTGTTCGACATTCAAGGTCACAGGCATCATACACTTCAATATTTTAATAGGTTCTTATGAATCAAACACTGATATTCTGCCTGTAGCTGTATTTTTGTCCACTTTTAAGATTACAGGTGTGAGATTAATACCAGGTGAGCACTGCAGGCCCATTGGGCCTCTTGTTTTATGTGCCTTGGCAATTATATATCTGTTACTGCTTAACAAAATTAAAAAGAAAGTCATTAGAAATATCCTGCTTGCGTCCCAATGTAAGCATACACAAGTGACTGTTTAAGGCTGTTATATTTACATGTTTCCCTCCTTAAGCTTAGTAAACTCTGACTGCGTATAAATTAGTGTATACGCAGTGAAAAAAGGCTCTGTCGATTGATACTTGTTTCAAATATGCTGCCGTTCACGCTTCAGCAAGATAATAGTCCAATGACAACCAATGCTTGGATCATTCACCATCTAAATACATAGAACATATTCAGGATCCAATTTTTCTGATTATAAAACAAAAGAATGCTGACAAACTTCTTATTCCATGGATGCACATTCAAATTTTTTGGTTGTAACGTCAACAATGGCGACTTCGTTCTGACCGCGTCACTTCATGAGCAGTGTGTCAATGCGTGTAAATGACGACCGTTGTAAATTAATAGAAAAGTTTGAAGAGAATTTAAAAACCATGAAAGGAAAAAAAAGTGTTGTTCACTGCTTATTTTCTAACTTTACTCATATATCGATGTTGATTCACTGGAACTGTATTGTCCTAGCAACCACAGCTACCGTAGTTACCATCGTGGCAACCCGCTTGGACTTTTTATCAATGTATTGTAGCATTTAAACATTTTTTTAATGTAAATATAAGGATTGACCTACATTTTGACGGCGTATACGGTAGTATGAACACAGTTGGCAACGAACATATATGGTGTGCGTTAGTGCTCCATAAAGAATATGTTCGTTGCAAACTGTGTTCATACTACCGTATACGCCGTCAAAATGAAGGTCAATCCTCAATTGAATAGTATTTTTTGCAGTCCCTGATGTTGTATAATCCATCAGATCTGCTTATCATGAATCATTTTGTAAAGTATGGTTAGTTTTTATTGTACCTTGCCTAAACTTTCAACTGTTCCTCTCATTAGCTCACTGGGCTTCGATCACTGTGTTTTTGTGAAATAGATAAATTCAGATCTAAAATATGATTTTAATTGAAATGCTAATAATGATACTGAATTATTAAGTTTTCTGTGCTCAGCTACCTACAGGGATGGAAGAAGACCTTACTTGTGGTGTCCCACGACCAGAGTTTCCTTGATAATGTATGTACAGACATCATACATCTTGACCAACAGAAACTGTTCTACTACAGAGGCAATTATGGTAAGCTATCTGTCGTTTTAGTTCCATTTAGACAAATTATTAGAAAATTACATGTAGCCTATCAAGGTTATCAGATTGAGTAATGAAATGCCAATTTTTTATATACCACACTGTGTCATGATTGGGTGAAACATGGATGGCTCTATGTGATAATCAATAGATCCTATTACAGAACAAAATTTATTTCAAACACGCTTTCCACATGTATTTAAATTCCTTTTTTTTTTTTTTTTATGAGAATCAGCCCTTTTTGATTTTGCCACTATTGGAGAACTAGAATACCTGCCCTCTAATGACATTTAAGAACTGCTTTCCATGTGGCTTGTTAAACTGTACCAAAACATGACCAGCATGCCTAGGCCTGAGGACGTCAAAAATGGCTTTCATGTAATTCTCCTGTGAGAAATGTCTGAGTTTAGCTGTGTCACATTCCCATGGGTTGCCACTTGTTTAACCATTTGAACAGATTACGAGGATTGGAATGTTTCTGTTGATGATCAGCATCGATTGATGTTAGGATGCCCTGATCCATGGCCTGTAATTCATCCCTACAGCTAGCAGGGACACACATGTCTACAGCTTCCATTGTGACTATGCAATTATCAGCAGCTCTAATCTATGACACTTGGATACACCAATGCGGCATGAGGCTAAAAAATAGAGAGTTCTGAGATAGAGAATAACAAAACTTTTGTTGTATTTTATAGGAAAACTATAAATCCCCAGTTAATGGTCTTGTATTAGAATCAGCTGCCCATCTCTCTATCTGCAGATACAAGCTTGTCCAGACCATAACCCTTAACTAATGGCCCACTTCAACAACTCCTAAACTTATGAGCCAACTTTGACCAAAAATTTGTACTAGTATGTGTGATCAAATACATCATGAAGTTGCACACTGTATTAAGATATCTTTTTTTCCAATTTTTTTCTGACACTCTCTGACACAACTGGTTGACACAATCAGTACAGAATTAGTACATTCACCTCTAGAGGTTCATCTGACATCAGGGGATATGTATATATATATACACACGTAATATGTAAATGCTGGCTTTTAAATTTCATGATTCAGCGACAGTATTAAAAGATATGCCTGTATTCTCAAGACACAATACATCAGAGTTATTGCCCTTACATCAACACTACAACATACAGTTTGTTTAGAAAAAAAATAGACAAATTCTAAATACAGGATACAAGGGGGATTGGTATGCCTTTATTCTCACGACACAATCAGAGTTATTGCCCTTACATCAACACTACAACATATCACGGTTTGTATAGAAAAAATTAAACATATTCTAATTACAGAATAAAAGGGGGTATTTGTATGCCTATAATCTCATGACACAATACATCAGAGTTATGGCCCTTACATCAACACTACAGCATACATTTTTTTTTAGAAAAAATGCAGAATTTTTTTAAGTTCAACTCCTTGAATTGCTACTAGCTCAAATCTAAGTCTAAATGGATATGGCATGTAAAAGAAGTACATTTTTCTGCCCCTGCAGTACTCTTGTTATCAACTTAAAATTTACTGATCTAGATCAATCGGCCAATTTGCAAAAAATAAACCCCTGCAAAATAATCCACTATGGCATACAGTATCAGGAGACACGTTTAGGTTCACATGTCTGTTGTTGAATAACTCAACAGCTTACTTCTGAAAATTCTTTCGACTTTTTGTAAAATCTGTAAATTTTGTCTTCTTTAAGGAACATTTAAAAAGATGTTGGTGCAAAAAAGAAAAGAACAACTGAAGGCGTACGAAAAGCAGGAGAAGATGCTTAGAGACATGAAATCTTCAGGAAAGTCGGCTAAACAAGCAGTAAGTTGTACATCAACAACTGGGTATGTCTTATGTTATTAGCTGTCAATATCAGATATGTGATTCAGGGTTTAATGTTTAAAAAAATATAACTCATTTAAAGAACCCTGTACCACTGCCAAAAACTGTAACTAGCATTGGAAACTGTTTTTCTGGCATGGTTATACTGTATAGCTTTTATAAATCATTTCTGGAAAGGCAACCATACCTTACTGGACATTTATGAAAAATAATCAAGATAAAATAAACAACAGGGTTCTGAGTGTAAAAAAAAAAAGCATAACTAGGCTAGGATTTGATTCCAGGACATCAGATTGTTATACTATCACATTTACCAGCTGAGCAACCTGGTAACTGGAAGGGTTTAGGCCAAACTGTGCTACAGTTAAATCGCCAAAACAATAAAGGGGAGGTTGCTGTATATGTGTAATCCACAGTGCAATGGGACAAGGTTCCTGGAAAGAAATAAACAAACAAACAAAAATGAAAAAAAAAGTAAAGTTTTCATTTTCATACATATATAACAATACACATTAATAATATGTGTTATCAACTGCACTCATTCAAAATATCACGATAATAAGATTGATATCATGTTTTGATACTAAATAACACTATAATGAAATTGGAAAGAAATCACTTTTACAAATTTGAGAATTACTCCTACACTTCAGAATCCCAGTTTCTCAGTGTAATTACACACAAAAAAGGTACCTTCAATACTGATACACTAAAACCTCGCTAACTCGAACAGGTCCAGATCAATAGTTGGAGGAATACATGGTTTCCAATGTACCAGAAGTTCATACGACATTGTAACTTTTTGATCAGCTGGTACAACAGACAGCACAAGCACTGCAAATATTGCAAATAGTAGATGCTAGAAGAAGAAAAGAAGTTTAATAAAGATGACAACATATACAGATATAAAATATAATATGTAGCCATCGTTATTAAGAAAAGAAATGAGATAAAGAAGCTGTATATGTAACCTACATGTCATTTAGACATAGGCCGCCTTACTGTATTCGGTTACATTTCAAATTTTAAAAAAAATCAAAATACCCGGTAGGAGGAACTCTTCGATAAATATGAAATGAAGAAAATCCTGAATCCCTGTTATTATAATAATGTTGATTGATGACCAAGTTAACCACCACAACTTTTCAAGTTCGAATATATTACAACATGATCGAGACTGTGTTATGCTGGTTAACATTTCAGTGACGAAATACGTTTTACACACCAAATCAGGCAAATGAATTAATTAACACTTCCGTTAAAACATCAATTTCAAACATTGTTCAGAAATAATAAATGTGCACACAAAATGATAAGGCAGCTATGACAGGGTAACAGTATAAGTACTTATACAGTATATAATGCCGTTGATCCTCTAATTATCTGACGTCTTGACGACACCTGTATAAACACATGAGTGTGGACCGCAGTCTGTGACTGATGCGTGGATGACACAGGATAGTTGAGATGACACAGGGTAGTTGAGATGACACAGGGTAGTTGAGATACACAGGGTAGTTGAGATGACACAGGGTAGTTGAGATACACAGGGTAGTTGAGATACACAGGGTAGTTGAGATGACACAGGGTAGTTGAGATACACAGGGTAGTTGAGATACACAGGGTAGTTGAGATGACACAGGGTAGTTGAGATACACAGGGTAGTTGAGATACACAGGGTAGTTGAGATGACACAGGGTAGTTGAGATACACAGGGTAGTTGAGATACACAGGGTAGTTGAGATGACACAGGGTAGTTGAGATACACAGGGTAGTTGAGATACACAGGGTAGTTGAGATGACACAGGGTAGTTGAGATACACAGGGTAGTTGAGATACACAGGGTAGTTGAGATGACACAGGGTAGTTGAGATACACAGGGTAGTTGAGATACACAGGGTAGTTGAGATGACACAGGGTAGTTGAGATACACAGGGTAGTTGAGATACACAGGGTAGTTGAGATGACACAGGGTAGTTGAGATACACAGGGTAGTTGAGATACACAGGGTAGTTGAGATGACACAGGGTAGTTGAGATACACAGGGTAGTTGAGATACACAGGGTAGTTGAGATGACACAGGGTAAGGGTAGTTGAGATGACACAGGGTAGTTGAGATACACAGGTTTGACTACCTGTTTGAAGGATGGATAGGTTAAGTACTGAGGTTTTGAGTGGTCAGGGATAAATCAGAGTTCAAATCACAAGGGATATTCGAGCAAAGTCAGTCGGGTAATCTGAGGTTAATTGACCAGAGAATATATAAGAACACGGTCGGGATCAAGTAAACTACTCGAGGAACAGGTGGTATTCGAGTAATGGGTGTTTGAATAAGAGGGGTTTCACTTTAATGGTTTACATTAGATTCTAATTTGATATATTTTTACTTCAACCCTGTCACATATGCATATATCCTGGATTTACAATCATATAATATGATAAAAAAAGCACTGTACAGGAAATAGCGTGACATACCACATGTGTCCACCTCCATTTGTAACAGGCATGACCTACAAAGTGTCCACAGTTAGAAATATTGTAGAAATTACTAGGTGATCAGGAAACATTGTAAAGTAAATAGGTGTCATACGCTCACTTATAACAGGTTAGTAGGTCACCAGGAAACCGTATAAGGTGTCACACCTACGCTAATATTACTGATACACTATATTGCTTCATTACATACCATAGTTCCGTTGCTTGTTAGGTACTGATACAATATAAATGGGGTTTGGGAATATCTCCAAAATGTCTTGGAATGCAAGGAATGGAACACAGAAACTGTTGGGAACATTTTCAGAACTAGATTGGTGTGTTCCTAGAATTAGATGACAAGGGAAAACATTGAAAAATAAAAGGGCATGAATATGTGATGTACATGTATTTATTATGTACATAACTTATGTTTTTTTTCATACTTTATTTCACAAATGAATCTTTCTGTTTAATGATAAGGACATGAATCTGTGTTCACAGACTGTGAAATCATGGTAATTTGTAATATAAAATAATAAGAAATTACCACTATTTAAAACACCACCTAATTGGAAAGGTTTAGAAAAATCAGAAGTATTTTAGTTCATTGTTAGCTTGTCTATTCCAAAAATAGGGGGGCTGTAGCAGTACCGATGGCGACGCTGTCCCATTTGGTTTTTGGGCAAGCTGTGTTTTGGTGTTTAACTCAACTTTTAATTAATTTTACATTGTAATACGGTTACAGCAATTGCTTGGAGGTTCCTTAGCAACAAATTGGACCATATGTACTCATTATTGGTCCAAAACACAAGTATTTTGGAATAAGTTAAAGATTTTGGGAAAGTTCTACAGGTTAAAGTTTTAGGGCAAGTTCTTGTTCTTTTGAAACTAATGGGCAGATTTCAACTAAATTTGGCATGAAGCATCCTTAGGGGAAGGGGATTCAAGATTGTTCAAATAAAGTCCCTGATCCCCCAGGGGACAGATGGGAGGGGCCAAAAGGGGTAAATTTGACGATTGCCTTTAAACGACATCTCTTCCGAAATTATAAGGATTTATGTATAAAGAAGTGCACAACACTTTCATTTCAGATTATTTATATGACCCCAGGGTCGGGGGGGGGGGGGGATGAAATGTTTAAAAAAAACTTGAAACTTTTAGACATGGTAGAAATATGTATGGGGAAGTGCACCAAATTTTCAGAATTTTGATATGACCCCTAGGGACTAGGCCAGAGGGGTGGAGTCATGGGGGTCATTTTTTTTATATAGTATTTTAGCATATCAAATCAAACATAACCATGAGTTCTACATTTTACAGTAATTTATTCTTGCATATGGTAATCGTGTGTGTGTGTGTGGGTTAGGGGTTACTTTGGGGGGATAGAGGGAGTGTACCATCAATAATTTAGTTCTAGTTTCCTGATCTATTATCTAAGATGGGACATACTGTAATGGCCAAATTACATTTAACACTTTTTACAAAGATTATTTTAATAGATGAGCTATGCTGTTCTTCTACAGCTCTTGTAATAGAAAAGTTAGCATGTTTAAGTGGTTTGTACTTTGGACCACAGGTCTGTACTTCCCAAAGGTAATTTCCTTATATTTCATAAACCTGATTGATGTTTGATTTTACTGTGCAATTCTACATATCACACCCATTTAGTGTAACCTCATATAGTAGTTGGGAATTCCTGTTATACTTCCGTATTGACCATTTAATATACAGACCCATGTCACCCTTGCTTAGGTTTCCATTCATATTTCACTTTATGTTTCCGCAATAAAAACAATCTATAATTGATCATCCTACACGGGGACGTCACTGCTGGTAAATCCATTCAAGACTTCCATCTCTGGAATGTGCTAAGGAAATTATATCTTTTGTTTATTTGTATAAACCGTTTTGAATTTCCTTGGTGTGCGTGAGTAAAGTGACCGATACCAGACAAGTCATTGACCGGAAACTTACGCCATATTTCCTTCTCTCATAGTTTTTGTACAGGGGATTAATCAGTGCATAGCTGATTCATGTGAGCATGACCAGGCTAGAGTGCTGAGGCATTTGATTGATCTAAATGTAAATATTTCCTGTCTTTTTGTATTATCTGCCTGTAATCAGTAAGCTTTCTATCATTTCCCTGTGTGTGTAAGATAGAGCTGTCTAGGGTAAGAAAGGGGTGTAGTTAATTTCTATCTTACACCGCATTTCACGTGATGTGACGTCGCAATGGCTCAACAATGACGTGATGTAACAAATTTGGAACTCTCTGATGCCGCAATGCAGAAAAGGCGACGTGATGAAATTAAAACCTTTTATTATATATTTACTGAACATGTTAGAAAGATGTGATTAATTTTTCTGCAAAAACATTGTTTGCAAATATGGGATATGCTTAATCTGGCTGGCTAGCTAATTTGTTTTCGTCTAAAAAGCTCAGGGTAAAAAATGATATTTTCAAAATGGTGGCCAGTCCAAATGCATTTTCATGGTTTCTGGGCTGATTTTGGTGATTGGAATGAGAGAAAAATACTCTTTCATATCCAAGGGTGTAAGATATGGAAATTAGACCCTCAGGATTTTCAAATTTGGCAAAACTCTCGGCAAACCCTGGGATTTTACCAAATTTGGCAAACCCTTGGCTGGAATTTCCCTATCCTACACCCCTGGTCATGAAAGAGTCTTATAATTTTTACAGACGTGATATGGTGCACTTACTTATTGTAATCAGACAGAAGAAAGTGGTGTCCCATTTTCAAAACTTCAACTTCAAATTCTTTTATTGTAAATACATGATTGTATTTAAATGACTATGTATATACAATCAAAATCGTTACGGCGTCAACAAGCTGTGTTCAAAAAGAACATGTCTACAAACCGAAAGGTTGTTTCAGCGTGTCACTCACAGTGTATCTGGCTTGTCGATTGGTCGATAGAACGTTTGAGGTCCGTGTCGTCCTTGATATCAAAAGCAATGTACATCATTGTACCTTTTTCGGAGACTTGTTGTTTGCGCGCTTTGTCAACTTACGATTACGCATACACGTATATGGAAATGTAAAATTTACATTGCATGTACATATTCCAAGCCATGTCTCATGACTTGAATGTTTTGTTTAATATGTACTTATCCACATTTTCGTGAACTGTAATGGTATTTATGATTGCAAGAGGGCAAAATGAAGAACATTACAAATACTTGAAAGCTGCCCATACCGGCCACTGCACTGAAAGGTAATATCAAGGAACGGTACAAGATGAAACGTTTACATGCAAATGTATACGTGTTAAATATATTTGTAAATGTTTCAAGCCACATACATATATATCTATATCAATTAATTGCCATATTAGACTGTTTCGTTGAGCACCCAGAATGAAAAAAAAACCTTTCATTCTGGGTCATAGGAATGTGTCAAGTCCCTGTGGGTGCGTATATGTATTCACAACATATACAACAGAACAAAATAGTAAGAATATGCAAAAAATGCATGAATTTTTTGATACCAGCAGCATATATTTGCTGGTATAAGTATTTCCTGTCTTGATAAAAACTAAACAGTTTCAATTGTAATTGCAATATTTATTCAATATTGAATAAACACTTCATAAAAACGAAAATAATTAGGTATCATTTTCCGGGGAATTATCTCCATGGATACGCTCCATCGAAAGTAACACTGCAGCCGATATTCGTGGGTACACAATGTACTATCGGCACACAGGTTATCTAACGTCACTGTACCCAAATCGGGACACTTTTTAGTAAAATATCAATGTTCTTTATACAATACTATACTATTAGTTCCAAAAATGTTTGTTCATTTTACTTAAAAAGATACTATCCACTTTACATTTTTATCACAATTTGATATTTCGTGCGCATGGTTCTATAAAAAGAACGCGAAATACCATCAGAATTATGAAGTCCGTTGAACCGGCGTTACTGTACCCTGGAAGGGACACTTCTGGTATTTTGGCGAATATTTGGGTATAAACGATCAATATCTGCAGAAAATATCCATAGTTGAAATATGTTAGAGTCAATGAGGGTTCTGATTAAATTTCTTCTCCAAAATCTCATTAGTTTTGATAAAATAGACTTTTGAAAATGATACCCAAATAAATAGCGTCGCACGGTACGTAAATCAGGAAAGTCTTGTTTTCGTAATTATTCTTAACTTTAAATTGTTCAAGCTTAATACAGTTTAATTGTCATGACAATATTCTCAAATAAAACTGTACACATAAAAGTACTTCTTTGCATTGAATGACAGTTTCTTAGGCCGATTGCAGACTTACTTTTATAATAAAACAAAATGTTATCGTTTTCGTGCACATCATTGTTATTATATAATTTACAAATATACTTAAGCAGGTATGAAAGTTATTTAACTGAATGAGTTGTCGAATCTTGCACCGTTCTATGATATTACTTCTCAGTGCAGCGGCCGGTATGGACAGCTTTCAAGCATGTGTAATAATCTTCATTTTGCCCTCTTGTAATCATAAATACCATTATAGTTCACGAAAATGTGGATAAGTACACATGCAACGAAACATGCAAGTCATGACACATGGTTTGACACATGTACATGCAATGCAAATTTTACATTTCCATATACGTGTATGCGTAATCGTAAGTTGACAAAGCGCGCAAACAACAAGTCCCCGAAAAAGATACAATGTTGTACTCTGCTTTTGATTACAAGGACGACCAATCGACGAGCCAGATACAGTGAGTGACACGCTGAAATGACCTTTCGGTTTGTGGGCATGTTCTTTTTGAACACAGCCTGTTGACGCCGTAACGGTTTTGATTGTATATGTATAAAAGGATAGGACAACATATGGTGAGGCCTATAAAAGTGATAGTCTTCTCCATTCACTGATAAGTTCTGATTATCAATCATTATTATAAACTAATACAAATATTCTCTAGCATCCTAATAAAGGATATACATGTAAAGCATATTTGCCTTTATGATATATTTATGTATACAATGTCATAGTGTTTGTGTACAATGTCATAGTGTTTGTGTACAATGTCATAGTGTTTATGTACAATGTCATAGTGTTTGTGTACAATGTCATAGTGTTTGTGTACAATGTCTTAGTGTTTGTGTACAATGTCATAGTGTTTGTATACAATGTCTTAGTGTTTGTATACAATGTCTTAGTGTTTGTATACAATGTCTTAGTGTTTGTGTACAATGTCTTAGTGTTTGTGTACAATGTCTTAGTGTTTGTATACAATGTCTTAGTGTTTGTATACAATGTCTTAGTGTTTGTATACAATGTCTTAGTGTTTGTATACAATGTCTTAGTGTTTGTATACAATGTCTTAGTGTTTGTATACAATGTCTTAGTGTTTGTATACAATGTCTTAGTGTTTGTATACAATGTCTTAGTGTTTGTATACAATGTCTTAGTGTTTGTATACAATGTCTTAGTGTTTGTATACAATGTCTTAGTGTTTGTATACAATGTCTTAGTGTTTGTATACAATGTCTTAGTGTTTGTATACAATGTCTTAGTGTTTGTGTACAATGTCTTAGTGTTTGTATACAATGTCTTAGTGTTTGTATACAATGTCTTAGTGTTTGTATACAATGTCTTAGTGTTTGTATACAATGTCTTAGTGTTTGTATACAATGTCTTAGTGTTTGTATACAATGTCTTAGTGTTTGTATACAATGTCTTAGTGTTTGTATACAATGTCTTAGTGTTTGTATACAATGTCTTAGTGTTTGTATACAATGTCTTAGTGTTTGTATACAATGTCTTAGTGTTTGTATACAATGTCTTAGTGTTTGTATACAATGTCTTAGTGTTTGTATACAATGTCATAGTGTTTGTATACAATGTCATAGTGTTTGTGTACAATGTCTTAGTGTTTGTATACAATGTCATAGTGTTTGTATACAATGTCATAGTGTTTGTATACAATGTCATAGTGTTTGTATATTCTATGTCTTCGTATTTTCATAATTTGTAAAACTGTTTTATATACAATATCTTGTGTGTTTATAGACATGGCCCTAATGTTTGTGTGTAGAGCTTCTATGTTTGTGTAGACAATATCTTAGTTTTTATTCAATGTCTTATAATGATTGTTAAGTTTTACAATGTACAATGTTTGTGTTTCAATTTATAATTAATTACCTCTACATCTACAAAGAATTAAAATCTGTCATCTGGACCCATACCAAAGAGTGATACCACCACAGACATTGCTTCTCTACGTATACCCAGCTAAACAATTGTGTATACTGTACATGTATGCATTAACTCTTAGATCTCATCAGCAAAATAAATGTTGTCATTTTTATGTTTATTTGACTCACCAACATACCTTTAAGTGCTTATAATGGCTTGTTCTTTGCATATAAATTACATAAGTTTGTCCAAGAAGATCCAGAAAGTGTTGTCCTGGTCAGTCTCTGCTGTGTGTGTGTAGTATACAGTGTCTGTTGTGTTTGATAGGAAGCAAAACAAAAGGAAGCCCTAACTAGAAAACAACAGAAGAACAAGGACAAACAGAAAGTGTTTGCGGAAGAAGACAAAAAGACAGAATTATTACAGCGGCCAAAGGATTACACAGTCAAGTTTCACTTTCCAGACCCCACACCGCTTAACCCTCCGATCCTAGGTGCTATGAGTAGGTATCCAGTTAATCTTATGCTGAAATGTTAGTACCAAACCTATAAGATTCCGTCTCCTTAAACAGTGAAATGCAATCAATAGGTATCTGCTCGGTTGGTTCTTTGCATTTTATTTGTAAATCTGAAACATGTCTAGTATGTAAATTGTAAGTACTGATCTGATACATTGTAACATCATGTTTAATTGTCATTTCTGGATCCTCAGTGTACTAAATTGTCTAATGATCTGATATTAATTAATTTTCTAGGTCCCTGCAATATATACACTACATTGTTTTACTTGATTTCCTTTTTTGATCAATATTTCTATGCAGAATAGAAAATGATACAATGATGTGTTTATTTTTGCAGATGTGAATTTCTGGTACAAGAAAAGTGAAATATTATTCAAAAACTTGGATTTTGGCATTGATATGAACTCCAGAAGTAAGTACATTGCATTGGTAGTCTCAAGAAGCTGTTGGAAAAATTATATCAAAGATACTGCTTATCATTCTTATCTGAATAACAACCTCTGTTAATTCACTGGTCATTTGTCCAGAATGCTTGGTATAGTACATCATGTACTGCAAAATTGATCAAAAGCATTCTGTTAACTCACCCTACCCAAAGGACCATTGGAGCTGTTAACTCACCCTACCCAAAGGACCATTGGAGCTTATGATATGGCATGGTGTTTGTTGTTCAGATTGTCTTGATTGGATTTTTTACAAAATTTTGTCTGATCATCGTAAGTCAAAGGTGTTGTGTAAACTTAGGATGTGAAATCCTTCCTCTTGAGTTCCTGGGGTTTAATTCCCACACCTAAGACTTTAATTTTTTTACATGCCTTGACCTGTTAATTGGCTGTCAGCTAAATTTGCTAATTAGAAGCATCCTTGCGACCAAGGAACCAAATGTTATATAAAGGAAATGTGTCTCCTTGGTTCTGAGAGGCAGAGCCAAAATGGGAAATCAAACTTAATGAGAATATTTTGTGAGGATTGCTTAAATTTCCAGATGAGAGTAACAGGTTCTCTGTGCCTTTTGTTCCCGTGTACCAGCAAACAGAGGTTGAGAATATGTTTATGTCACTTTTCAATGGAACAAAGAATGTTATTTGCATAAGATTTTAATCATCTCAAATGATCTCTCACCAGTTGCCATTGTTGGACCAAACGGTGTTGGAAAGAGTACATTCCTGAAATTGCTGACACAAGAAATAGAACCAGTAAGTCTGCCTTGTATAACACAAACTAGTATGACTAAATCTGTCTACCTTGATAATGGTAATCTGGAACCAATAGGTTTGCTATGATCATATTTAACGCAAACTAACGAGTCAGCATTGATATTATTTACATACTTAAGGTAAAGGGTAGCACTGCACCAGTTACAATCGCAAATATAAGTTGGAGAATTCTCCCTTCTGTATAGAAGGTGAAGCAACCGAAATGAATTTTTATGACTTAAGAGTAACTTCCCTTGTCAAATATTTCATATACTTGCAGCCAATAAACTGGACAGTCGTTTTGATGCTGTACTTATATATAATGTAGGCTATGCAATGTAAAGGTCCTGGGTTCGACCCCTAAAGTTTCTTGTTTTGTTTCTTGTAAAACACATAGCAACATGTAATTTTCAATGAATATTTCTTCTGAAAAGGACTTCAATATTTCACAACAGTGAAAGGGATAGTAACATATACTAACTTGCTAGATCCCTTCACCTTAATTACATGCATTTGTCATCACTATAAAAATAACTTAAAAACTATTTGTATTTGTTCAAAAGTTGGTATGGTAACATTTACTATACTGAACACATTCTTTAGTATCATTAACGTGGTACCAGGGTTAATTGCCTTAAGGGCTCGGCCAAGTTTGATGACCACTTCAAGCGGACTTTATTTATTGGAGTTATGGCCCCTTGAATAACGCAACAAATGTTAACCAATTTTCTACAAACATGGTACCAGGGTTAAATGCCTTAATGTTTTCCTACAATATGTTCTGCAAGCGGGGGATATATATTCCATGAATTTGCTTGTTCACTATAAGATGGGTGAAAGGCTCTCTAAAATTGTAACTTTTTATTGCGGAACTGTAAAAATGATTTTGTAACTGCTTGTTTAAATTGTTTACAATTTGTTACCCTAGGTATCTGGAGAAGTCAGAAAGAATCACAGAATAGTAAGTAGTCATACTCTATATATCATCCTTTATAATATGTTAGGGGGTTGTCGTACCAGTGTTGGCCAGAATAGTAAGTAGTTATACTCTATATATCATCTTTTATATAATGTTAGGAGGTTGTCTTAGGGCAGTGTTGGTCAGATAAGTAAGAAGCTGGTGTTCTATTCCTCGATCGGGCATGAAAAGGTATGGGGGTCACCTGCTTGACCAGGTGAGGGTTTTGACCAAGTGAAAAATGGCCATTATTAAAGACATGTTTTCCAAGGTTTTACAAGATTGATTCTAACTAAAGTTACAAATGTTCCAGCCATTGACAAGTAGTCACAGTTAATTGTAATTGTTTGGGTCGGTAAGAAATCCAAGATCCCAGATTGTCGGAAAGCTTTCCAGTACCTTGTTTCCTATTATTGTGCAATTGTAAACTCAATAATTAAAGTCAATAATGTGTTTGGACTTTTTCACTTTTAAAATTCTTATCAATTAATTTCTATCTTAGTGATGAATAATGAGATACATTGATAGAATGATTTATCATTCTAGTGTGATATGAAGGAAGTTTATATGTGTATGTAAGAATACATGTTTTTGCTGGGGATCAAACCAATGACCAAGACTGTTTAGATGGACGCTGTACTGTTGAGCTAAAGGGAAATTTCTTCCAGCCGAAGCTAAGGAACTGATTTTGACACTTTGTACAATGCACATCTTTTACGCTACTTTCCGTTAGCTCCTTTCCATGTTGAAAGAAAAGGGTCAATGCCATAAGGTTTAAACAAGAAGGAAAGAGTGAAAAGAATAGGTATGTTGTAGCCTATGGGGTCATCATATTTGTTCATTACAGTCTGTGATCATGATAATGATATTGTCTTTACAGAGAATTGGTAAATATGATCAACACTCTGGTGACCAGCTCAATGCAGAGGAGTCGGCTGTGGAATATCTACAGGTGGGTACTGGTAGATTCAGTCATCATTACACTAATCATTTTAAAGAGGATCCCTAGTCAGCATATGAACTCAAAATGTGTCTGGGCATTCTTCCTGAAACTTTTAAAATATCTTCCTCATAATCTGCAGTTTGCTAAATTATAAAAAAAAAATGGAAGGAAATTGACCTGAATTTTATCACTACAGAGAAATTGTGTTTGTTGCTGTTAAAACAAAACTTTGCTGTTGTTTGTATAATTTCTTCCATGAACCTAGATTTATTTATTATATTGATAAAAAATGGTCAAGTAATATAGGATCGTGAACCTAAATGTCTTACAAATGGACAGAAGCATATTGACCCCTCCCATCACTTTGTCTCTTTTCAATATTGTTTTGTAGGTGTTTCTAAGTACATTGGCGTACCATTCTGTCCTATTACGTGTATCTAAGTACATTGGCGTACCATTCTGTCCTATTTCGTGTATCTAAGTACATTGGCATACCAGTCTGTCCTATTACGTGTATCTAAGTACATTGGCGTACAATTCTGTCCTATTATGTGTATCTAAGTACATTGTCGGACCATTCTGTCCTATTACGTATATCTAAGTACATTGGCGTACCATTCTGTCCTATTACTTGTATCTAAGTACATTGGCATACCATTCTGTCCTATTACGTGTATCTAAGTACAGTGGCATACCATTCTGTCCTATTACTTGTATCTAAGTACATTGGCATACCATTCTGTCCTATTGCGTGTATCTAAGTACATTGGCATCCCATTCTGTCCTATTTCGTGTATCTAAGTACATTGGCATACCAGTCTGTCCTATTACGTGTATCTAAGTACATTGGCGTAACATTCTGTCCTATTATGTGTATCTAAGTACATTGTCGGACCATTCTGTCCTATTACGTATATCTAAGTACATTGGCGTACCATTCTGTCCCATTACGTGAATCTAAGCACATTGGCGTACCATTCTGTCCTATTACGTGCATCTAAGTACATTGGCGTACCATTCTGTCCTATTACTTGTATCTAAGTACATTGGCATACCATTCTGTCCTATTATGTGTATCTAAGTGCATTGAAGTACCATTCTGTCCTATTACGTGTATCTAAGTACAATGGCGTACCATTCTGTCCTATTATGTGTATCTAATTACATTGGCGTACCATTCTTTCCGAGTACGTGTATCTAAGTACATTGGCGTACCATTGTGTCCTATTATGTGTATCTAAGTACATTGGCGTACAATTCTGTCCTATTATGTGTATCTAAGTACATTGTCGTACCATTCTGTCGTATTACGTGTATCTAAGTACATTGGCGTACCATTGTGTCCTATTATGTGTATCTAAGTACATTGGCGTTCCATTCTGTCCTATTATGTGTATCTAAGTACAGTGGCGTACCATTCTGTCCTATTATGTGTATCTAATTACATTGGCGTACCATTCTTTCCGAGTACGTGTATCTAAGTACATTGGCGTACCATTGTGTCCTATTATGTGTATCTAAGTACATTGGCGTTCCATTCTGTCCTATTACGTGTATCTAAGTACAGTGGCATACCATTCTGTCCTATTACTTGTATCTAAGTACATTGGCATACCATTCTGTACTATTACGTGTATCTAAGTACATTGGCATACCATTATGTCCCATTACGTGTATCTAAGTACATTGGCGTACCATTCTGTCCTATTATGATCAGATTCTTTGTCACAGGCCTACAACATTATTTGTTATCAGTTTATCTTCAAAGTTTATTTGAAAGCCAAGTGTGAGAATTTCTTGTATGAGTTTGTATTTCAGTGTACCAAGGTCGACACCAAGGTCGCTGTTGCTACACACATTAGCAAAGACACTAAAATCTGATTATGCTCATAAATTCTGCTGAATGTTCAGTACATCCTACTTTGCCACAACAAAATCAATGTTTGAATATTTTTTGAAATATGTATTTTATTTCTTACAGAGACTGTTCAATCTTCCAGTCCAGGAATCAAGAAAGATGTTGGGTAAATTTGGGCTATCTAGTCATGCCCATACAATCAAAATCCCCAACCTCTCCGGAGGTCAGAAGGCAAGGGTCGCTCTGGCTGACCTGTCATGTCGCGCTCCTGATGTTCTTATTCTTGTAAGTGAACTACTGTAGATAAGTATGGATTGATTCAGGAAATATACAGTTCAAAATTATTAAAAGATGTGTTTCAGTTGTATTGATGACAGCATAAGGATTAAAAACCAATTGAAAAAAAATAGATACTTTGCTGATAGACAAAAAATGCCTTGCTTTATATGCATCTGCAATGTAATACACTCATACATATATACATTAACATAATACATGATAAATGAAAAGACCTATAACTACATGTACTTGCTACATTTTCAGGATGAACCTACAAACAACTTAGACATTGAGTCTGTTGATGCCCTCGCTGATGCCATCAATGCCTATAAAGGAGGTAAGAAAAGAAAAACTGAAATAAAGCACTGTAGGATTTTTAGCTCACCTGCCCAAAGGGCCTAGGATGATGATATTTAGCCAGTAACATGCTTGGATGATTGAGCTTCGTCCATTTTCAAGGTCACAGGGGTCAAATATGTTAAAACCTTTGAACAACTTCCTCTGAATAACCAAGAGGCCTAGGGTGATGGTATTTGGCCAGTAACATGCTGGGATGAAGGGCTACCAAGTTTGTTCAAATGAATGACCTTCACCCATTTTCAAGATTTTTAAGACTTTTAAGATTCTAAGTGTGAGATTAATACCAGGTGAGTGATTTAGGCCCATTGGGCCCCTTGTTATTGTTTGTTAAGGAAATAGAGCACTGTAGGATTTTTAGCTTGGTGCGGCGTCTGTTGTCCCTTTGTCTGGTGTCCGTCGTCCATCAATTTTCCCTTAAAACGACTTCTTCTGAAGAACGGACAGGCCTACAGTCATGATATTTGGGTGATAGCTGAGAACGAAAATGACCTTGACCTACTTTCAAGGATACAGGGGTAAAAGTGTCAAACACTTAAAACGAAATCTTCTGAATAACTGAAACGTATAGAATCTTAATATGTGGCTGGCAGTTCATTGGTAAAAGCCCAACAAAGTTTGAGAAAGAAAATGACCTTGACTTACTATCAAGGTCACAGGGGTAAAAAGTGTCAAACTTCAAAATAGTTCTTCTGAAGAACTAAAAGGTATAGAATTTTAATATGTGGCTGGTAGCTTTGTTGGTAAGAGCCCAACAAAGTTTGAGAACGAAATGACATTGACCTACTTTCGAGGTCACAGGGTTCAAAAGTGTCAAATACTTAAAACGACTTCTTCTGAAGAACTGAGAGGTATATACTCTTAATATTTAGCTGGTGGCTTCTTGGGATGGAGCCTGACAAAGTTTGAGAATAAAAATGACCTCGACCTACTTTCAAGGTCACAGGGGCCAAATATGTCAAACTCTTCAAATGACTTCTTCTGAATAATCCAATGGCATATAATTATAATATTTGGCTAGTAACTGTCACAGATGTAGCCCGACAAAATTTGATATTGAAAATAACCTCAACCTACTTTCAAGGTCACAGGGGTCAATATTGCAAAATCTGCAAACAGCTTCTTTTGAAGAAGTGAAAGGCATTGAGTTGTGATATTTAACAAGTAGCTTCCTTAGATGGAGCCCAACAAAGTTTGTGAATGAAAATGACCTTTATCCACTTTATTATATAGCTATATCTTAATCTAATTTGAGTATCCTTGGCCCAACATGATTCAATGTTGTAGAAACCATGCCCTCATCCCAATGGGGACAGGAGAATGGGACCCAATAAAGCAAGGGTGTTACTGAGAGACAGAGCCAATATTTGGAAATATTTGTAGTACAATTTAATATTTATTTAATATTTTGCTATGGCTGCTTAAATATCCAGGTTAGTGATACTGGGCCTCTTGTTAGCTTACCATAATCAGATGGTGGGCTATTCAAATTGCCCATTGTCTGGTCCGCCTGTCCGTCATTTTGTCTGTCTTTAAACAATTTTTGTTAGCACTATTTCTCATAAAGGACCAGAGGGATCTTTCTCAAACTTTACATGAAGGTTCTTAATGGTCCCTTTGTTATGCGTTTCAAATTTCGGGACTAATCGGAAAAACAAGATGGCAGGCAGGTGCCATCTTGTATTGTTAGAGTTAAAGTTTGTTAGCGCTTTTTCTCAGAAAATGCTGGAGGGATCTTTCTCAAATTTCACATGAAGGTTCCCCAGTAATCCCTGGTTATGCATTTCAAATTTCGGGACTGATTGGAAAACCAAGTTAATGAGATTGTGGCCTGTAGTGACATTAAAAGCAGTCAATAGAAATGGTTTAGGGCTATTTTCAGCAATAATCTTCTTTTGGTTGAGAAATTGTTTCACAACATCCTTAAAAGAACTAAAAGGCCTACAGGAATGATACTTGTTGTATGTTACTGGGATGAAGTCATATGAGTTAAATGTATTAAAATTTAGACACAATTTCCTAAGAACCATGAGGCAAGAGTAATGGTAATTGGCCAGTAGCTGTCAGAGTTGAAAAATAGTTAAAATAAAATAAGACATGACTGTCATTATCTTTCATTTGGCTGAGATTGGCATTTGAACATTCCTGCATTATTAAATAACTAGCCTCTTGTGCTATTTTACCTGTATTAACTGTACCTCACATTACAGGTGTGATCATTGTGAGCCACGATCAGCGACTGATTCGGGAGACGAACTGTCAGCTTTGGGTTGTGGAGGATCAGTCAGTGAATGAGATTGATGGAGGTTTTGATGATTACAGACGAGAACTGTTGGAATCTTTAGGAGAAGAGGTGATGCTACCCCAGCCAGATATAGTTGCTGAATGATCTCTACTTACACACACGGAAGACTTTCAAATCGAAGGCAGATGTTCTGACTGAATGATCTGTGCTTAGAGACAGGTGTAATTTATATGAAGACTGGTCATCATTGTTGCAAACTAAAAAGAAACATTATGAAAAGAATGGATTTCTGACTTTTTTGTTGTTATTGCAATTTCTTAATGGAACATAATTTTTTTTACTAAGAAATTTAAATAATTTTCTGTGAATTTTGGCTGATGAAGCTTCCTTGGCATTCATGTTACCATAGGGAAGCATTTTTGCCATTTTGATTATTCAGGATTAACGGGTAGAAATTCATTTGGTGTACACATTTCAGTTCACTGTATAACATAATAATAACAGAAAGTGGGAGGCTCTAGATATCAAACTATAAATGATAAAGGTAATCTTCAGAGTGGGTAAAGGTCAAATATCTTCAAACAAACATTGCTAGAGAATACAGGCTTAAAAGCATTACTGTGCATATTGATTTTTGATGGAATACTTTCACTTATTTCACTCCTGCAACCTTCAAAGTTAAAAACCTTGTGCAGTATCCCAGTGGGATTTTATGAAGGTAATCTAGAATAAAAGGGCCTTCAAAAGAACACATTTACCATTTTTATCTCACCTGGCTTGAATGGGCCTTTTTATAATGCAGAATCTACAGGTAGAAATACATTTGGTGTACAAATTTCAGTTCACTGTTGATAATACAAAATGTAGTAACAAAAACTGGGAGGCTTTAGATATCAAAGTATATAGGATAGGGGTAATTTTAGCTTGGATGAAGGGCTACCAAGTTTGTTCAAATGATTTACCTTCACCTATATTCAAGGTCACAGGGGTCAATGGTCTTAAAAACCCCATTTGAACAACTGCTTTTGTACAACCAAAAGGACCACGGTGAAGATATTTGGCCAGTAAGATGCTGGATTGAAGGGATAACAAGTTTGTTGAGATGAATGAACTTCACCCATATTTAAGATCACAGGGGTCAAGTGTGTCTTCTGAATAACCTCATTGCATAGGATGGTGATATTTTGCTAGCAGCATGCTGAGATGTAGAGCTATCAAGTTTGTTCATGTGAATGACTTTGACACGCCTTCAAGATCACATTTGGTCAAAGGTGTATAAACCTTTTAAAATACCTCTTCTCAATAAACAAAATGCCTAGGGTGATGATATTTGACAAGTTGATTCTGGGATGAAGGGCTATAAAGTATTGTTTTAACTTTCAAGGTCATCACAAGGGACAAATTTGTTTAAATCTTTTAAAAGGTCCTTTGGAGTGACTTATATTGTCATATTTACTGATAATTTGCCTGTACTTTTATTTTAAACCACTTTTAAGGTTACAAGTGTGACATTAATACCAGGTAAGTGATACAGGCCATTGGGCCTCTTGTTTTCATAAACGTTAGTCATGTATTTGACAAAATCTGTAGCCCTCACCTCAGCCCAAAATCTGTAGCCCACACCCCAGCCCAATGCAGGCAAATTATAGAAAGGAATCCTGTAGATTATTGATAATTTGTATTAATACATGATGGCTCTTAACATCTGTTTCCTTATAAGCCAGATATCATCATGGTAAGACAGAAGTTATTCTATTTAACAATTGGACGCCTGTGGTATGGAAAAAGATCAACGTCATTTAGATAACCCTTCACTCCCAGCATGCTACAGGCAAGATATTGTGACCCTGGGCCTCGAGGCTATTTAGAATTTAATTGACGATTTTGTCACTTTTAACCCATGTGACCTTGGAAGATGGTCAAGACAGTTCATTTAGGGGAAAACTAGTTGATGGACCTTCACCCTAGCATCATTCAGGTGCAATATTTGACCACTTGGATATTCAGAAGATGTTACAATGTTTGACAAATTTTACTCCTGTGATCTTGAAAACAGCTCAATCTTATTCACTTTACCAATTATGATAGCTGTTCATTCTGGAATGTTACAGACCAAACATCATATTATTACCCTTAATCTCTTTGTTATTCAAAGAATATGAAAGAAAGCTGTTGACTATCGACAAACCATCACGGTCAAATCTCGTCTGTCATTTAGAATAAGATGGCCTGTAACTAGACTTAACTCATCCAAGGCAGGAGGTGGGACTTCTGTAGACATCCCAAAAAGCTACCAGCCAAATATGAAGATTCTATACCTTTCAGTTTTTCAGAAGAAGTCGTTTGCTGTGTTGGACATATTTGACCCCTGTGGCCTTAAAAGTACGTCAAGGTCATCATGAAAACTTCTTTTTACACAACCAATAACATTTTCTATGTGACGTGTCGATGACTAGTACGATATGTACCCTGTTAACTTCATCAGACAAATGACCAGTGAAGCGTATGCACACAAAGGTGTAACATGTGTACGAGTTGTCCACAAAAATCGATGGTCATTTGTCTGATGAATGTGACAATGTACATATCGTACTAGTCATCGAAACCTCACATAGAAAATGTTATTGGTTGTGGAAAAAGAACTTTTCATAATCCATACTTACCAATCAGAAGAAAAATGTTTAGAAATACGTCAAGTGTTTGACATATTTGACCCCTGTGACTTTGAAAGTAGATCAAGGTTATTTTTATTCGCAAACTCTGACAGACGCCATCCCAGGAAGCTACCAGCCAAATATTATAATTCTATGCCTTTCAAATTCATAAGAAGTCGTTTGATGTTTTTGACATATTTGACCCCTGTGACATTGAAACTAGGTCAAGGTCATTTTCATTCGCAAACTAAGATTCGATACCATTCAGTGCTTCAGAAGAAGTCGTTGAAGTGTTTGACATATGTGATCCCTGTGACTTTGAAAGAAGGTCAAGGTACTTTCCACTCGCAAACGTTGTCGGGCTCCATCTCAAGAAGCAAATGTAAATATAACGAATATATATGCTCAACCTATATGTTTGTATTAAATGGTAGTGGTCGAGGGATTAGAAAATGTTGGTTAAAAAAACATTTTTTTTCCAACATTTCTCCTCTTTGTTACATATTCCACCATAATATTTAGTTACTGTACTGGGCTTCACCTGGGCACGATAGTGTACCCAAGACACCTTTGAAAGAACGAAATATCCTATGTGTTGCAGTAGCGCCAGCAGATCAGTTTTAGTTTCTCTGATATCCCTGTACAGAAAATAGGACTACTTCAAACAGTGATGTAACTGAATTCTTATCAGACCAAAACGATCTATATTCTATCGACTTAATTGGCATTCCAGCATAGGCCTACGTACTTCACCCACGTCTTTTGCTGATGGGTATTTATCAGGATGACGCCTGTTGTAGCTAGAACATATTATACTTCATAGGTTAGTGTCTGCAAAACGATTTCATCAACTGCAATCTGTCCCAGGAAATAATTGATTTTGTTTCATCTTACAACTATTACTATTGATGACGAAGCTCGGTAAATCCTCAAATAAATTATAACGAGAAACTCATTATTTTAGCTAATTGCTGCTGCTAAACTTTACTTGTGGTCGATGCAGACACTGATTCACATACAGATCTTTTCACACGTTACACTCTTTTTAGCCCCCGTTACTAATTAAGGATTTAAGAGACAGGGAATTCCTTCTGCGTTTTATAACTATATAAATATATATGACGCACTGTCGAAAAGCCCCACTTCGTGATATCTGGCATGTGATATACTGTACTACAACTGTTTCCAAATATTGGCTCTGTCTCTCAGCAGCACCCTTACATTATTGGGTCACATCCCTCTGTCCCCATTGCGATTGGGACATGGTTTATACAACATTGAAGCATATTGGGCCAAGAACACTTTATATCAAATTAGATATAGATAAAGCTAAAGGATAAAAATACTTACCTTTGACTCTTGGTTATTCAAAACAACACGTAACATGATTTTACCACAGTGACCTTATTTATTCAGTTGGGAGAAAAAAATGGAAGTTTTTAATCCCAAATATTATCACCCTGTGGCTCTTAGTTATTGTGAATAATAATTTAAATATGATAATTCATTTGATCCCTATGACCTTGAACGTAGGTTGAGGTAATGCCCAATTGCAAACTTTGTCGGGCTCAATCCTGGGAAGGTAATAACCAAATATTATTATATGATTCTATGCCTTTCGGTTCTTTAGAAGTCGTTAGAAATGTTTGACAAAGTTGACCCCTGTGACATTGAAAGTAGGTTAATGTAATTTTTGCTCTCAAACTTTGTCGGGCTCCCTCCCAAGAAGCTGCCAGCCAAACATAACGATTCTATAAATTTGAATTCTTCAGAAGAAGTTGTTTTACCCTTGTGACCTTGAAAGTGGATCCAGGTTATTTTCATTCGCATACTTTATTAGGGTCCATCCTAGGGAGCTACCATCCAAATATTATAATTCTATGCCTTTAGATTATTCAGAAGAAGTCGTTTGAAGTGTTTGACATATTTGACCCCTTTGACATTGAAAGTTGGTTAAGGTCATTTTCTTTCACAAACTTTGTCATGCTCAATCCCTGGAAGCTACCAGCCAAATATTACGATTCTTTGCGATTCAGTTCTTAAGAAGAACTGGTTTAAAGCGTTTGACGTATTTGACCCCTGACTTTGAAAGTAGGTCAATGTCATTTTCGTTCTCAAACTTTGTCGGGCTCTTAACAACAAAGCTTTCCACCAAATATAATGACTCGAGGCCTGTCCATTCTTCAGCAGAAGTCGTTTAAATGAAAAGACGCCGCGCCATGACAAGCTCAGTAGCTCTTGGAACAGGTGTGCTGAATCTCTCAGTTTGAGAAATGAAGACATCTAGGCTATCGTGTGACAAATTTTAGCACGCGTAAAAGAACAGCCTATTTTAAGTGATTATAGTATTTAAGGTCATCTAGCTTATCAAATGCATATGACCACTGAGGTAGACACGAAAAAGGCTTCGTTACAATTTACTTTACTTGATGGAATAGATATGTTCAACATATGTTTGTATTAAATGGTTGGAAGATAACTCGAGGGATTCGAAAATGTTGGTTAAATAAATATTTTTTCCAACATTTTCTCATCTTTGTTGCATATTCCACCATAATACACGCACATTCGTTGAATATGTATTTATTGAACTGGGCTTGGGAAGGGGTATTTAGCTAGCAACAAGTAAGTTCTGGTGATGATGGAATCACTGATGGGGCCACTTGAAGTCACAGGTAGGACCACTTAGTGCCATCTCGCGTAAACGTCACAACTTGGGCACGGTAGCATGACAACTCTTACCGATCGCATATACCCGAGATGCCTACAGAAGGAAGGAACGAAATAAAATAAATATCCTATGTGTTGCAGTAGCGGCAGCATATTAGTTTTAGTTTCTCTGATATCCCTGTACAGAAAATAGGACTACCACAGAAAGTGATGTAACTGGATTCTCATCAGACCAAAACGATCTATATTCTATCGACTTAATTCGTCATTCCAGCCTACGTACTTCACCCACGTCTCGTGCTGAGGAGTATTTATCAGGATGACGCCTCTAGTAGCTAGAACATGCTACAATTTTAACAATTAAAATATTACGGAGCTGTATTTATTATTATTCATATTTCAGTGTCTGTGAAACGTTTTCATTGTACCAGTAAGATTGTATTTACATCAACGGCAATCTGTTCCTGGAAATCATTTGTTTCGTCTTATCTTACAACTATTACAATAGATGACGAAACTCGGTAAATCCTCACATAAATATAATTGCTAGAAACTCATTATTTGAGCTAACTGCTACTGCTTCTGACCTTTACTTGTGGGCGATGCAGATACTGTGATTCACATACAGATCTATACACTCGTTACACTCGTTTCAGCCCCCGCTACTAATGAATGTTTTAGAAGACAGGAAATTCCTTCTGCGTCTTATAACTTTGATATTATGCACTTTCGAAACGCCCCACTTCGTGGTACTCGTGGTATCTGGCATGTAGTCAGCAGCCATGTGGTATATGTATTGACCTATCCTTAAATCCAAAACAAATCTCGTCTTAATTGCATTGAACAATGTACAACGTGTTTTATCTTTCTATCAGACCAATTGTCTGTCATATATTCCTGTATGAGTTCGTGAAATCTGTGCGTGCCTGGTAATTAATAATATCTTCCTTAATGCTGATTTTCAGTATGTATATATGTTCTCAACAATTATACCCCCAGGTTTGAAGATGGCTGGAATATCAGCATAATTTTACAATAGAATTGTTTTTCGGACAATTTTTCTTATATATGTTCATATGCTTTTCCCCTAAAGATGCGTGGTTAGTAAATGTCCAGATAAAAGTCCAATATGGATGTAATTTATTGAGGTTGGAGACGATTTCTCGATTTTGATTGATAGCAGCGTTCCCGACGTTCTGATTACACGAATTTTTCTGTTAAAGTGGCTATTTAGTCAAATGACAACATGAAAATCGTGTCGATACTGAAAATATATATCTCCTTACGAAAGTTTCCGTAGTTGATAATGACATGACCTGAAGCCAACGTCCAATGTGGTCAGTTTCATCTTTTGGGAAAGTCGGTGATCAAAACAGCTACGACCAAAATAGCGCAATATCCTGGACTTATAGTGAGAAGTAAACATGTAAAGCACTACGCTGTTGACCGACAAAACAGTGTCGGTTATAAATCTGAGTTCACACATAACACATTCTTAAATGTCGCTAAAACATAGTGCTGTACAGCTAAGGATTTCAAAATTACTGATTAAAATCGCCAAGAAAAAGTTGCCTCTTGTCAATTTCTCGACATGAATTGTCTGACTAATTGTTCATAAGGAGTATCAACCTATAATATGATGAATAATTGTGTGTCAAGGTTACAAATAAAACCTTACTCCTCTAAATTGTTTCTTTAAGATTATTAAAAAAAAAATTTACCCGATCTCCACAACCCGTCCCTCATTTCATTCTAATCACCAATCTGTTCTCACACACACAAAAATCAAGAAACATTGAATCTATTTAGGATAAGCTATTTCTGTATTTATTTTTATTTTTTTTCTACAATATTTGCAAATAACTAAACGCTACCTCGTACGTTAAGGTTATTATTGACTTTGTTTCAATGTGCATTTCAAAAGAACCATGTTGAGATCCCTTTAATAATATAATTATAAAAATAGGTCGACCAACGACCCCTAATATATAAGGAGTACAGAAAGCCACGAATAACGTGAATTAAGGACCGATGGTAATATTGTGATTTATTAAATCATATCCAATATAATTCATGTTTATTAAATGGTGCTATATAATTTCATAAAATGCTGATCGACATTTCTCCTGGAATAAATGTATACTTTGTAATGTTATACTCTTTGTATTAAAATTTAATATTTTCTATTAAAATATCAAACGGTAGTATCCTTTTTATAGTTAAGTTATTAGCAGTGTGACGATTAACATCACGACTCATTTCCATGGCAACATCAATACGTCAATGTGATATGGAGATTAATATCTATGCTAATTGTGGAACCATTGAGCATGTGCGTATATATATAGGGGTTTACCCAATGCACGAGGAAGAGGTTCCACATGGCCGTGTCAGCTGGTAGGCTGGGGTATTTTATACTCGTCGATGTGATATTTATAACCAACGGATTCGTTTGGAATATACGTAAGTATCCAATGTATTTTGTAATATTATATTTAGCTATTATGTAAGTGTAATAGATACTAATTTCTGTCATACAGGAATAAGTTGTTTTTATAATCAGAAAGTTTATCATTTATTAAAGATCAGTTTCGTTTTAAAGTTAAAGGAAGAACTATTTAGGTTGGAATTCCCATATGAATAAGATAGTGAACCGGAGATAAGGTATATACCTTTAACCTTAGATATACCACATATATAGCTTACCTAAACATGAGGTGTAGGTTATATTACTGCAGATAAGCAATCGCTCTGTTTAAGCGTGCTAGCAAGGGTTTTTCCATACATTTCAGTTTATAGAGTGGCATTTGAAACTTCAATATTGATTCAGCTGGTGCTACACACACTATAACTATGTATGCATAACGTATGTGTATATCACATATATAGTATATGGGGCAAAGAAGTGTTTTCAACAGTGTGGACAAGTTGTTATATAGGATTTTACCGTCTATATTACGTCGTTGACCCATAACATATATATTATGTATACAAAGTATTTGCGCGATTAACATATATATCATATATATACAAAGTATATATGTGCGATGTTTCTATGGAACACGGTAACATATAGCTATATTTCCTTGTACATTCATTGTATATTCCTCTTTATTGATTTGTAAACATAAACAAAAAATTCCACGATTCACTTCACGTGTGACTAATCAGCACTGTGTTACAGTTGTTATTGTTTACTGGTTGCTGTGATTCAAACTACGTGATGTAAATACATGCTTAATTAATATTCCATGTATTTTAAATCAATGTATTGATATGCTATTGTTATGTCCTATATGGGAACAAAATGTAATCATGTATCATACATTTATAGCACATTAAATAGCCACAGTAATTGTGCCTTCTCTATCGAATGAATTATCAGAGGTTCGCTGAAGGCTCATTGCAAATTAGTATCAAACCCCTGGGCTCTGCTCCAGTTTTTGTAATTGATGTATACACTTCAAAGGAACACTGGGTTAACGAGGCGATGGCCAGTATAGTAAGCAGCTGCAGTGAATCAAATAGATACCTCCCCGTTATGAACATGGAAGACCTGTTATCAGTCTCAAACTCCACACATTCAAGTAGTGCATGTAAAACCAAGTTACCATGAAATTAATTACACGACTCGTATCTTTCTGATAAGTCGTGGCTACCTAACTGTCGAAGTTTTGGCGGTAGACAAATCTAGAGCACGGGCCGCTACTCCCACTATATGTATGTGTAACATACGGAAAAAATAAGCCAAATCAATAGCATCATAATGTTCTTATGACGTTTGACAATGTTAACAGAGGAAATATACAACGGTATTATGACATCAGAGAATTTTAAACTCGATGCGTGCGTCAGTGTGTGCGTGTGTAGTAAATTTTCCAAAAAGGGATACAGCACGTATCCTACGTACTACATAGTGGGGTTGAAGATCACGAGAGTAGCGTGCTGCTGAATCTTATACGTTTCTCCGAGTGAATCATTGCCATTTTGGAGAAAAGTGGTGATAGCTACTCCTCCGTTAACTTTTTCCCAACACTGGTATACTACGTACTTGTGTCATTGCGATGCGCTTCCATTCCAACAACTCTCAAATGACTAACCCTACCCTACGTGTACATTTCAGATACCCTGTACTGTCCTAAGTTCGTTTGTAGCCCCTTAGCATCATGGAATCATCTCAACGAGCTTTACATGTTCCCCCAGAGACCACTGACTGATCTTTGTTCATAAGCTTTGTAACGTCCAGATACCACTCACTGACCTTAGCTAGCTTCGTAACGTGCAGAGACAACTGGCTGATCTTGGTTAGCTGTGTAACGTACATAGACCATTGCCCGATCTGTATTAGCTGTGTAACGTACAGAGACCATTCAATGACCTTAGTTAGCTGCTTTAAGTACAGAAACAACTGACTGACCTTGGTTAGCTGTGTAACGTACAGGGACCATTCAATGACCTTAGTTAGTTTTGTAACGGACAGAGACCACTGACTGATCTTAGTTAGTTTTGTAATGTTCACAGACTGACTGGCCTAAGTTAGTTTGTAATCAAAGGAGACCGTTGACCGACTTTAGTTAGATTTGTAACGTATGGAGACTATTGACTGACCTGAGTTATTTAACACACTCCAAATGATTTATATAAATAGCTGCAACATTTTCTTCCTTAAATCGACAGGAGTGGTTCTGTTTTTTTACCCATAGGTTTATTAACATGTTAGCATTTTCAAAATTCCATGCATGCATACTAGTTATTTTGTTGAAATATATATTTTACTGAGAAATTGTGTTAAGTAAAATAGGAAATATGATCAATAAAAACGTAATTTCCATGAAAATATATTTACAATTACAGATGACATGATGTCCTCTCGTCCGTTTGTGACCCGGCGTCTGTCTAACGGACAAGATCGAGTGGACATTGTCTGTCCAGACAATCACGTTATGCTGTCACCTTACATAGCGTATGGAGCGTCCGTCGGACGTCGTTCGTCTACTTTACGTCTCGAGAGGGACTGTTTGGGCACGGACAGTCAATTGGTCAAGCAGTCTGACCAATGTGTGACGAACAACACATGTAGCGTTTCTTTAAGAAAGGGTTTACGTCTGACCAACATTTTGAGTGGACCAAACAAAAAATGCCTCAAAAATTTCCCGAAGTTTATCACTATTTCCTTACCAAAGTGTGTTCTAAAAGGTAATTATGATCAAATGCAACGTCTTTTTTTTGTTTAAATAATAGGACCGATACGCCTGTATTGCTCATCTGTTTTTCAAGCCATTTAGTTGATTACACTTGACAGTCTGTGTTATTACAGCAAGCCACATATCAAATAGATTTCTTAACTCTTCAACTGAGCATGTTGCAGGTTAGATATGATGATCATTGATATCTTGTTTCTTTCCGAGGAAGACATTTGCTTGAAGTTTTAATATATTTGACACTTGTGACACTGAAAGTGGGTCAATGTCAGTATGATTTGTATATAGACTTTTCATACTATATACTGTCATACCATAGGCGAATTATCATGACCCGATCTCTTGATTATTGATAAGTTGTAATAAAGTATTTGCCCATTTGACCCTTCCTTCTTTTAAATCCTTCAAGGTAACTAAGTTGAACAAACTTGATAGCACATTACCCAAGCATTCATATTGCCAAATAGTATGCCTCTTTCTTATTTAGAAGATGTCCCTTTTAATTTTAGTTGTTAGACATTTAACCTATGTGATCTCTCTGCCCAGATATCGTGATCTTAGGCCTCTTAGCTTTTCAGAAGAGATTTTTCAAAAAGAGTTTTAATACATTTGACCCTATATAACAATAAAGTATGGTCAATGTAAATCATTTCAACAAGCTTGATCACCCAGGCATGCAACAGGTGGTAAAATATCATGGTAATAGGCTTCTTCTTTGTTCTTCAGAAGATGCTGTTGAAGTATTTTTTTAGCACATATGACCATTGTGATATTTAAAGTGGGTCAAGGTAATGAATTTGAACAAATCTAATATCGCTACGTCTCAGCATACTACTGACAACACAACATTGCCTTAGGCGCGTTGGTTAATCGAAAGTTGTGTTAGGGTAAATAGATGACAACTTATGCCGTTTCATTGAATATTAAAAAATATTGCAAAGACAAAACATGTTAATGTTTATATAACAGTATTAGTTACTAATCTTATTCTTGAAGCTTAAATGTATTTTTTAATCAAACATTATTACATGTTGTGTTTTTCAGATCAGATTCGTGATATATGTTCTGACGGATTAGAGGCAAGGTACACGACCGGTATTCTTGGGCGGCACACAGATATTCCAAACACCAACCCAACGGAAAAGTCGTGTCATAAGATTATGTCATTTCTTACAAATGTGACGATGTCGATGAAACTTGAAAAATTCGACAGTAACACAAGTTATCACGTGATTATACAATGGACAACACAGGCAGGGATGAACGAAACCAGGACTCTTAGATACCATCATGAAACATTCACTGGAACTGGAAATAATTTTAATGTGACATGGGAAACTCGGGACCAAGACGTAGCTAAACCCGACTTTTATCTAATTTATAATGGTACGTATTGTAACCCAGATAGCATGGACACTATAAGGATGGAGTTTGATCCAATGAAAACATAACTGAAATGAAGCACCTAGACAATACCTTTAAAGTTTGTATGTAACGGAGTTCGCCTCTTATCATCGAGTGTTAGACTAATAAGCAATGCATAAAAATATTAACGCTACACGTCAAGATTTTCTGGACAATTAACATATAAGTTGTCAACTGTAAAGTCTGAACGCATATGTGTCTTGAAACGCTGTCTTCTGACAAGTTCTATTTGAAGGCAAACTCTTAAGACAAACATTCCCTTCTTTTCTATTACACTGATGTAATGGTCCTCTAACATGTCAATGACAACAAACACCGCCGAATCAAATGTCTTCAACTTGACGATATATTAAGGGGACTTTTCAAATTCATTTCAAGCTGGAAAACCCCCCCAGAATGCTGAAATGTTAAAAAAAAACGTAATTCAAACTCAAAATGATGAAAACAGTGCAAAATAGGAACAACAGAAAGATTTACATGAATGATTTTTAAAAGCATATAGAGAATGAGACAAGGCATCCCGGAAAGGTAAGCGTTTTATGCTTCATCAACTACACCCGACATGTACATCTAGATCACATCCAAGCAGTGTCGCGTTCTCAAATAAGACACCCGAGTAATTGACAACCAAACCTTACGTCAATCTTACAATCAAAATGATAATAAAAAAAACGTCGATCTTCATATCACAATATTTCCCAATGAGATAATGATGGTGACCATAAAACCAGCCAATAGTTTTCAACTCTGGAACGATAGTGTTGTAGGTTTGTTCCTCAGTAATTAACATCTAACACGAAAATCGTGATATTTTAAGTAAACACTTGAAAACCGAATTAACAGCGACATGCAAACATGTAGAAATATAGCATTTACCCGATATTAATTAATCAAATATAAGATCATGGCTTTTTGTTTAACCTGAATAGTTCCTTAAATAACTGTTTGGTCAATGTAAACCCAGTCCTACATCTACTCTGATGATCGAAAGTATGGTGTGACATCTTTCTTGTGTTTTTCATACATTTATCTGTAGTATTATACGTTTCAGTATTGACATGTTTTGTGTCAATATCAGTAGTTCAAATTGTTTTTACAGTACAACTTCAAGGTGGATACCAAAACGGGAGCGCGTCACGTAGTCCAGTCTCCGAGCTACCCATGGGTAAGCGTAATTTGTTTTTTTGCTTTTATTTTTTTATTTTTTTAATTTTTTATCGTGTCCTGCTGAAATAAAAACTGTTTTGGTCATTTTGTTTCAATTCCATACCATTGTATTCAGTAAAAGATCGTTTGTGCCCTTATATTTTGCTTAACACGAACTACTACTAGTTTGGGAGAAGGAAGTGATCCAAACCTGACATGAAAACCAATCAAAATTACGTACATCGCTTCCTAGATACTATAACCAGGGATAAATCAATCAACATGACATATCACTTCCTCAATAAACCAAACAAAGGTAGTTGAAGGATGAGGTAAAGTACACCATATCGGCAAACGCCAAACTTAAAAAAGGAATACAAGCACCATGAAAAATACTAATCAGAAGATATTATTACATATTCGTCATTGTTCTGATAATTGATAAGTATTAGAAACTGCATATATCGAACGGGATTCTACAAGTATACCGATCAATCGTGTGTACCGGCCTGAATGTTTAAACAAACTCTGTTCAATCTGTGTGTGTATTACGTCTGGCAATATATATCACCACAGTGACCTTGTCCTACAGAACTTAACCCCAGGGCCTTTGATGTAGTGACAGGGTTGTGTTTTATCAGTTAATCAGTGGATTACTACATACGTATGCTGGAATGTAACTATAAGGCGTTTTGTATGGTTTTTTTCTTCTGCTACTCAAACAGCAGTTTTCCTTGTTGAACAAATTTTCGACAGTCTGTCGAATGACGGGATATTTTCGTGACGCCACAGTTTTATGGCGTTTATTCATTTCCATAAACATATAGGCATTTAATGACGTTGATTCGTTTTTCTCACAAGTAGTTTCTGGCGTAAATGTTGTCCCATTCAAATATTTATTTTCCATTCACTTACGGTGACATTTACCTTTTCTGTTCCCAGCGTCTCTAAGAAGCGCCATGACATGGAAGGACAACCAGATGTCGTTCGCTTGCCCCAAAGGATCCCTTCTGTATTCTCCCCAACTAATGGTTGGAGTGGGAAAGAGGTTGACCTGTGCTGGTATTACTCCAAGTTTGTTGGTGCAGATCAATAACTGTTATTGGGAGCGGAATTGTAACATCAACTGGAAGGGTCCTGCCACGGTGACTCTGTCTGATTCTCTCCCCTGTCTGGGAAAGACGGCTGCAGTCATGTCAACTACCGGATACCAATGCATCAGACAAGGTAGCACTAGTCAGTACCAGGTCACATAGACATTGAGTCACATGTGGATAAAAAAATCAATTATAACAATAGTTAAGTTATATATATATACATCTCACAAAAATATAGAATATTGAAATTTAAACGTCGCCGATCTGAATATTAATTAGTTTTTATTTAGCAAATAACATCCCTAGAATGCTTACCTTACCTGGAGTTTGTTTACCTGCATATATGTAACTTATCAACGATCGTCTATGACATGTATGATAACTCTTACATTACATGAAATAACTACATACCAAATTGGTTCCTCATCATCATGGAAAACTATCTTTAAATAGGAACACGAGTGGTTACCATTTTGGTATTATGTGTATTATGTAGTCAGAATGATTTCGTAATGACTTGTATACGTAGCTAGTGTATTATGATAGATATTGTGATATTTATTGTTGTGGACTGCGTTAACAATGTGATGTGATTAATTTCGTTGGTTAGCTTTCTGCGAAGTAAATAATCATACTATTCTCTGATATCTTAATAGTAAAATTCAGGCTATGAAATTATTCACATACAAGAAAATGTCTGAATTAATCGCTACAACATTTGTGTTATCTCACTGCAGAAAACGTCGTAAATATGTGTAGTAGGTATGCCTCCGAGGTAGTCAACAAGGCTTCTGGTATCATCCGAAGTCACAACATTTATCCGTGGGACTACGGGGCGGAGGAGGTGGACTGCAGGAAGGTTATTAAGGTAAATAACATAGCAGCAAGCAAGTTTTATAACCAATATGAAGCATGTAAGACCTATAATTTACACTAGATAAACATTGCCTACAAAACGTAGTTATTAAGTGCGTGCAAAACACGCGCTGATCGATAGAGATTTTCCTATATAAGCTGTCGAAAAGACGCTACTACATTAACCACTTTTACTGCAAAATAAAGCACATGTACAGAGCGCAACATATTGAACTTACAAAAAGCCCGTTTTTACATTAAACCCGTTCATTATATGACAAGTATCTTGTAAAATACTATATCAAGTACATACTTTAATTAAAAACTCTCAGTGTCTGTCATATAATATTATAGAATACCAAGTAAAAGGTTCCCAACAGCATAAGTTATACTTTCTATAAAATTGACTCATTCGTGGACTACTCGTGCGTAACGGTATTGGTGAAACAGTTACTTTACCCAAAACAAGAGTTATAGCCAAAGGTTTGGTAAAATTTATATTTCTGATATCGTTTCATTTCAGAAAAAATGAAAAAGGAGGTCATAATTGATTTAGGTTAACTTGGTGTGACATACTACAAGAATTTTATTATGATTTAAAGCATATACAACTTGGTTAATTTAAAGAACAATATTCGCTTGAAAGATAAAACCTAGCCCTTTGTTGAGTTTGTATATCAATAAAATCTCATTAGAGTGGTTGGAATGGCCGGACTACGAGAACAAACTTATATAGGAAAACTAATATCTACCCTTAAACACTCTCACTCATTTTTGAAAACATGCAAGCATGCGTTTAGGGCTCCGGCATTTAGATATAACTAGACTAGTCCAGTTTATGTAAACTACATATCGTTTTACCTTTCAGTAGCTCCCGTAGTTTTAATGTGTCGTAGAATTATGAATAAACTAACAAAAGTGAATGCTAGGATCATAAATAGAAAGGAAAACGCTAAAATATTTTTTTCACATTAACGTCCTTGTACATTTGTTTTCTTGAGACGCACATTTGATCTTTATACAGTTACAAAGTTAAATGCTTTGTATTTTTGTCGGCAGGTAGGAAAGGGAAGACAACTCTTACTGAAAATTGAGACTTCCCAGGTTGACGAAAGCCGCGATACGTTCAGGATTAGGCATATCAAAGGGAAAACGAAGACATTAGTTGTTGAAGGAAACATAAAACTATTTAACACCACCTTATCAGGGGGGAGTGTGGAACTCTCCCTCACAGTCTCAAGGAGGTCAAAAACTGGCAAAGGATTCCTCGTACACTTTGAAAGTAAGTTGCACTGAAGAATCCTCTAACGGAACATGGTGCTTTGGTTAAAATGGTTCAAATAAAGTTTAAGTTTCCGTTAAGCTAATTAGTCTACATCACTGAAGAATTGTAATGATCTCCCTTCGACTCGCTAGCTCTTTGCTCGAGTACTATCATGGTTTCGTGCCCGTTGAATTAGCTGTATGTATTTTGTGATTGATTTCCATCAAGTTTACTCTATCAATTAGGTTATAATTGTTGCAATTCAATTTGGTCATATTTTATATTTCAGAAATCGGGAAAAGGCATAGAGCCCCTCAATCGCAACATCGGCAAAAAAGTACTTTAATGAAAAAACGTAAACAGCAAAACAGACATAGACGACATAGAGTCAGTAATAGAAGGAAAAGAAACAGAAGAAGAACGTACAATAAGTCTAAAAGAAGAAAGTCCAATAAGTCTAAAAGAAGAAAGTCCAATAAATCTAAAAGAAGAAAGTCCAATAGGTTTAAAGAAGGAAGTCCAATAAGTCTAAAAGAAGAAAGTCCAATAGGTTTAAAGAAGAAAGTCCAATAAGTCTAAAAGAAGAAAGTCCAATAAATCTAAAAGAAGAAAGTCCAATAAGTCTAAAAGAAGAAAGTCCAATAGGTTTAAAGAAGAAAAAAAGCTCGTGGATTAAGAAAATTCCTTAATATAATTGGCCGATGTGATATTTGAAAAAACGTGCAATACGAATATAGAATCATCAGTCATATGGTCGCCTAAGTGGAGTCAGATTGATTAACCCTTATCTAACCCTAGGGTATAATCCTCCCATCAGGTTTTTATTAAAACATGAGACGAAAAGACGGAAAGACTACAGATTATTACGTACCTCAGTTATCGTGTGAACATTGAACGCTCCCGATATGTGTCCTTATATTTTAGACCTAACATACTTATCTTCGGATTTACCTTTCTGCTATTTTGCTTTACTTACAGTCACTCTAGGCGTTCTAATTGCTAATACTAATGTCAATATTCAACCCATTTAGTAATTGTAGGATCTGAAGTTTGATTTTTATAATGTAATGCAAAAAGCGATCTCAATTTCCCTCTTCAACAATAACATTTATTCCACTGTTAATGTATTAATGCAGCAGAGAATCATCACTGTCATCGATATCGTGGCATAACGTTTCTTTCAAGTCATTTCCCCAAAGTACATGTATATAGAGGGTATCCAACTTCACCAGTGTGTCTAATATTTTGCTCGTGTTGCGCACTCGTGAAAGATATTAAATAATAACCAAAAAAGTGAAATATATATGGTATTACTGAAGACACTGTTAGATATTCTGTTTATTACATATTTTTACGAAAACCTACCCCGGAACGGGAAGTGACACATCAAGCTGACAATACTTGATCTGGTTCCTTTTAACAATAACATGTCTACACAACCGTACGCGATAAAATATAGACCTATCTGCCAATATTTTAATAAAATATAAAAACTCATCATTAATTCTTTTAATAATCTATTTTAATAAAAGAAAGGTACTTTATTTCATATTTTTATAAAGCATGCCAAACTACTATCATAATGTAATTTTGTTTTAAATGTCCCGTCATCAACTCAGATCACTACGCGTTGTTAAAAAGCGCCTAATCTTAAATGTGGGGAGTTGGGAAAATGCATAGTTGTTGTGTTACCACTTATCCTGATGGTCAATATCAAAATATAATAATAATAATAATTATAAAGGCTTTATTTATTCTTGATAACATATTGAGCATGAAACTCATCTTGCATATGTTCAGGATACAATGTATGATAAAATGTACAATATTTACAGCTTTAAGAAATATACATGTACATGTATAAAATACAGAATAAGGGAGGAAATCATAAATCATTTCAAGTAAAAGTGCTTTGCAGATATCTTAAATTCTAAAAATGAAGTACAATTTCTAATATTACTTGGTAAAAGATTCTATGTAAGGGGTCCCTGATAAAAGATTTTCTAAAAATGTTCGTCTTATGACATGGCAAGTAAAACACATTGGTAGATGATGATTTTGTAGTTATACCCTGTTACGTAAAATCATTCAAATGTTATGGAGCTAGATTATTAAGTATCTTGTACATAAAACCTGCTTGATTGTATAAAATTCTTTTGTGAAAAGGTTACCAATTTAGTTTTTTGAACATATCATAGGAACGTGTGGAAAAATCACATTTTAAAACAATTCTGGCTCCTCTCTTTTGCAGGCGTTCTAATTTTACAATATTATTTTTTAACTGTTTCCCCAAACACTTGAGCAATTATCTAGATGTGACTTAACAAAGCAGTTTTTTAAGAGAGACAATCATCTAGGGACACTCCCAAAAGGTTTTTTCACATTTTACATTTTCAATGTTTACATTGTTGATAAGAACGGAAAATTCTTTTGTTAATTTACATTTTTTTTCTGTGAAGTAGTAACAAGCATGTCTTTTGTTTTTTCTGTTTACACACATTTTGTTTTCATCGCACCATTTTGACACTAATTTTGCATCAACATTGAGGTTGGTATTTATAATGTCAAGTGATTTCCCTTGTGATTGCGCTGCGGTGTCATCAGCGTACGTATACAAAGAACTTTGTTTTGTAATCAGGGGCAGGTCATTTACATATAAAATGAACAAAAGTGGCCCCAATATTGACCCTTGAGGGACACCGACTGTAAGAGGGAGAGAATCACTCAAAGTGTTCTTAAAGTTTAAAATTTGTGGTCAGACATTTTTTTTTAAAAAAATGGTCATGATTATGTTTTTCTGGGCATTTTGATAAAACAGGAAGTACTGATATTGGCCTGTAATTTCACAAAAGCTCTTTTTTACCCTTTTTAAAGAGAGGGCATACTTTCGCATACTTCCAAACTTCCGGAAAACTGTTTGTGTCAATACTAAAATTCATTAGTTTACAAACAATTGGAGCAATGGATTTAGCACAGTACTTCAAAAATTTTGTGCTTATGTTGTCGAATCCGGTGGCTTTGTTGACAGCTAAGTTCAATTAAAAGGTTTCGATAAAAGTTATTTCAACTTGAGGAATATTAAAAATGTTACCCCTCAGCTTTTCTTTTATATACGCTTCAAGTCTATTTAACGTATCTGTCGTTATTACATGATTCTTTTACATATTGATCTGCTATATTAGTGAAATACTCATTAAAACAATTTTCTATTTCAGCTTCATCAGTAATATCATTGTCATTTGGATCTTTTATAAAACTCGGTAAACTGGAAGATTTCTTTGGACACATTTTTTTGTAATTCTTCCAGTAATTATTGAAAATTTTACACTGATCTAGAGCAGAAGTGAGAAAAGTTGATTTTGCAGATTTTATCATCGCTGTTACTTTGTTTCTACATTTGCGATATAGGTCTATTCGTCCCTCACATTTGTGTTTGTTCCTTATTTGTATTGCCAGGTTTATATCATCAGTCCACCAGTAAGGGAATTTTTTGATAACGCACCCTCTTTTCTTTAATTTGGGCGTGTTTGTCAACTATATCCAGGAACAAGGTTTGGAAAGTTTGTAGCATGTCATCTATATTGTCAAACACATCCAAACATGACCATGGCACATTTTCAATGTCTCTGTTGAAAGCTTCATGGTTGAAGTTTTTCATGTATCTATATTTAATGAAGTTTTTTTTTATCTTTTGATCTTTCTTGCTGTTAATTCTGACAGCGCTGACCGGAAAATGGTCACTCATTGATATAGTACGTACTTCAGTGTACGATATTTTTTTCTGGTAAATGATAAATGATAAATGGTTATCCTGATTTATCAATATCACTGTCAGATATGAACCTTGCTCTCTAATACCTACTGTCAATCGCTTAGCCTAACTTGGGACTTGGAGATGCTGACAAAAAGATAGAGTATGCTGACCTGTATAGCCTGCTGGCTTCCTTGAAATGAAAGTTAACTGAGGAACGAAACGTTGTGTTTCCTCCAGAGAGTAGTTGCCCAATGATAGGAAATAGATGTAATTATTCCGGGCAGTTAAATGGGCGGATTTTCAGGAGGCCTGCGTATCGTTAAGCTACTCAGCCTTTGACCAGATGGGCAGCTTGTAATTTTTCCCATTGAAGTTTGTTATCTGTATTTTGATTGGTCAGATAAGAAAAAGTTATATATTTCACAAGTGAAAAATATCACGTTAATAGAATGAAAATGTAATAAAGTACAATATTCTACGTGACTCAGGGACTCTTAGATTCCTATAATTGTTTTACGTACCTCTGTCTATTATTGTTATGATCTAATTCCATTGGGTGATCAATACCTTAATATAATTGTCGATTTCATTTTTAATTTTTCAAATCTATCAAATTTCTCGTCGTTGCATTTCTCTATCAGGTTTAATTGCTGATTTGTCTTGTTGGACAGGCGAGATACTAGGCACGAAAGTGCAAATTAGATAGTTCATGACAGATGAATGTGGAATGTGGAATCCGTTTTTATTTATTGAGTTAAGGTAGGCATCATATAATGAGGACAACTTGTGAAAGTAATGACACGGTTATGGCTTTACACTGCAGTGACGGATTCATTTAAGTGTCTTGCACTGCAGTGACGGATTTATGTGTCTTGGCCGCATCTTTAATAGGTTCTGTTTCAAAAATCATGGTTTGGCGGCTGGTTAAGTATTATCAAGCTCTATTTGTGGTTTGTTCTAGACGTAAGTCTATTGTCGCATGTAAACTCAGGGTATATATTGCCTTTTTGTTACATTTTTTCTATAATTGTATGTATTAATGAATCCATGTTAAGCATACACTTACATGTATATTTAGCACTAGTATCTTACATATTTCTTATATCTGACCATTATGTACTACTTAATAAAGATTTTGGCGAGAGTATGATGCCTTGTTTAATGTTATGTAGAAAACTATACTTTAGTAGACATATATGAGGACGGTGTAATACATCATTGAAATCCAAGAGTTTCATGACATAATCAAAGGCACGAGGTAAGTTATTTGATTGGTGTCAGGTATGAAAAACGGACCAATTGCTAGACTGATACCTTTCATTTGAAGATTATAAAGGAGCGACACCAGACGTCAATAACAGTCAAGCTTACCGTAAGCAGCTGCGCAATTCTTTTGATGTTCATCAAAGGATCAAACAAATATACCTGTATCATCGGCAAGATGAAACGTTCTATTTATTTACAACACATCCAAAGAGTGTAAAACAAATACATGTATGTGTAATGAAAACGCAACCTTGCATTTTGAAGGTTGGTTCGATATGTTGCCAATTTGACGATTTTCGTCAATACACATATCATTAGTGACATAAAATATTTTCTATACATAGTAGCTGATTCAAAAATGGAAGAGCTCTATTGATAACAATTCTGAAATGTGGTCCATGATTATAAAATCAAGATGTCCAAGAGACTCGTATTTTATCAAGTAAGTAAGTACTCAGGAGAGGAGCTTGATTCCTGAGCAAATTTTGTAAGCATAAGTGGTTCGTCTTTTTATGCCTCGCAGTTATATGTATGATTAAGGTGATGATCTGAACTATTTCCATATCATGACTTAAGGATTTAGTACCCAGTGGTGGGGCTAGACTCCCGGGCCAATAATGGTAGCATGAATGCCTTTTCATGCCTAGAAATTGTCGATTTGGTTATAGGATTAGGATCCTGACCCTTTCCAAGCTATGATCTCATTTATTCAATCAAAACCTCGGGTGGGAACAGATCAAAGGGCACATTCCATTAGATGAATATATTTCTCCATTGATTTCGAGCATGAATATAAACAATTGTCTCATACGTGACGATCTCGCAAAACATCCAACCCATTTCCAGAGACATGCACGCGTTATATGTATATTGTTACTGAGGATATAAAGTGTGACAACCGTAAAACCCTTGCTGTTAAAAACGCATGCTGTGTAAAACAAATGGCGCTGTTTATGCACATAACATCATCTTTTACATCAGATATTTGTCTAAAATTCCACCCATCCGTAGTGTGAATGACTTTAACATAGTGTCGTATGTTAGCGATTTACACCAGATATCAAGTGAAACATCATTGCTATGTGTCTGAATTACGTGACAGATACCAACTCGAAACCAACACTGTCACCATTAGATATCACTAGAACAACACCAATGTCGTGAATAAACAATGTAGGATAGTATTACTGCATTCTACTGGGTCTCAACCAAATCATCGACAAATCAGCATCCTTGACATCATCACCAAACCATTATCCCTGCTGAACAAAATTAGACCAATTTTTAAAATTTTGAGGGTGAATGTTAATATTCTTAATCCAACGTGTCCATAAGCCGTTAGAAACAAGCTAAATGCAAGTATATGAAAGGAAGCTGACCAAGACAATCGGAAGTACAGAACCATCAAGCTCTTATATGGTTAATATGACAGATTTACTACTAGCACATTTCAAATGAATGTATAACTTCGTCAAAACCACCACATATGCCATACACGAATGAGTTCCATCCAACCCACCTTAGCAGGAACCAGCTAACAATGGTTCGCCTGTGATACCTTACGATGGAAGATAAAAACTCCTGCAGAAAGTCAGTCAAACCTACCTACATAATTTATACAGGAAGAAATATTTGGTACAAAGATCATGCAGACAAGCCTACAACTTCCACATTAATAACTGGTACATGAACACTACAGTCCTGAACTACTCATAGCAGCCTAATAATAGAAGCTGCGTACTACCCCTGACTCACCGTCCCACATGTTTCTACCTAGGCAAATATACCCAACAACCAATTGCCATCAGCATTCACCCGAAACCGAGAACATCCTAGCATAATGTTTCAGCTCTACGTTGGACATACCAAATACCGTAGTAAACCAGACGGAAGTCAACATCTAAAGTATCATGAATGCATATCAGCAAAGACATTGCCACCGACAACATGACAGCTCTCACCTTACAAGCTATCCCAATCAACTAATTTATACTTGATGAATGAAAACAAACACTGTGTCTCCAATATTCTAGAAAGGTGATAGAAGCTGGCCTGTGAACTGCAGCTATATATCCCTCAAGATGTAATAGTTAAACACATCATTCTATCGATTGATCAGTCATGTAGATGTCACCATCATTCTCACTGAATACTGGATTCCGAAAACATCGTTCCTGTTCCAAAGAATTAATTCTAGAGAAGATATAAGTTATTTGACAAAGACTCCCACCTTCACTTGCTCCATCAGCTATGACAGAATAAGAGGTGGAAAATTCTCGTGGACCAATGAGTTTCTATTCTCCTTAACATAAGCCGTATTCCTGAAAGGTAAAATATCACCTACAGCTCGTGACACTCGAAAGTCCTATGGCAAAGTGGTGATTTGTTCAATTTTGAAGAGCAGGCAGACCTTTTGCAGAAGACAGCCTCTCAAATTCTAAGACAAGGATTTCAGGGTATTAAAGCTAACTTTAGGCAAAAATCCACTTCAAAAAGTGGGAAAAGAAATTGTTAATGAAGTCTTGCCTCAGTAATTAGAGATATTCATCATAACCAACAAAAACAACCGACTCACCTCTGACCAAACTATACACGACAACATGTGCAATGTGTAAGCTTCGCAAAAATACATGGACCTTAACGTCACCAGTACACTATCATGGCGCAGGCACATCTGCACATTTTGCACATAAAGAGTCAAAATATTATTCAAGGAAGCCCAATAATAAAATTCAACCGATACCTTACAAAACAAACTTTAATCGCTGTTAACAATTACCAAAGAACGTGATATATGTATAATTTGTGAATGATTCTCCAATGCAACGATTCCAGTGGGACATTTTGGGAAAACTTTATTGCTTTTTATTTGAAATTGTTGTACGTTTATATTGTCTCATATTTAATGTTCCACACAAGAGTTAGATATTCCCCTTCAAATTGGATCTATACAATTTTACTGAAGGAATTATCATAACTGGTAACTAAAACCTTGCTAAGTCCTTCAATCTCCCATTCAAATATAACACGTATATGCTAAATTTTGTAATTAGAATTATATTGACCACTTTTATCGTAAATACCCTACTTAACTAGAAATCAATGTCACTAAAAACTGTTTTACATCGGCCACTTACCTCGATTGTTTTACAATATGACCAACAGAGGTGGCTTTTTAAGTTTCTAATTAACTTTACGATACCTGTGATGATTTTGTTTTACAAATAGTGAATTTTTCAATTCTTCAGCGTAGGCCTTCTTCTCTGGCCTACGCTGTTTCATGGCGCTATTGATTCGGAATTCAAGAGCTTCCACCAAATATTATGATTTCCCTAGTAGATGTCCAATAATGTCAAAGGTTTGAGAGAAACAAGTTGATGACGTCTACGGACAAATGTTGTGTAACCAAAATTTAGAAGTAATCTATTTCTTTGTCCGATATGAAGGTCAGTGTTGTTATTGCTCAACCATGGCTGGCTCATTATTGTCTCTAACCCAGTTACCTTGAAAGCATGGCATTGCTTGTATTTATCCTAGATTTACATGGCGGGTGTCGTCGATGAATCAGAAGACGGCGCGACGGTTTGGAACACCTCGCTCCTTGTACTTCTTTTAGGTCTTCGTGAAGATATTTTCCTGATTAGTGTTCTTTCCATGTTGAATTAAGTGCAAATAACGGTTTTGTTGATACTCTGGTAATCCTTTTATTCATTTTTTACCAAGTTAGATGTCCAGACACTTTTTCTATTATAATAATAAAGATATACTCCAGTGTAAACAAGATGCCCAGAGGGCCTGTATCGCTCACCTGGATATTCAAGCAGCCATAGCAAAATATTCTCATTAAACATTATACTGTACTACAACTATTTCCAAATATTGGCTCTGTCTCTCAGCAACATCCTTACATTATTGGGTCCCATCCCTCTGTTCCCATTGCTATGGGGGCATGGTATTTACAATATTGAAGCATATTGGGCCAAGGACACTCTATTTCAAATTAGATTTCGATAAAGTCGTATTAGGATAGACATCTTTACCTTTGACTCTTGGTTATTAAAAAAAACGTTACAAGATTTTAACACATTTTACCACAGTGACCTTGAATGTCTAACAAAGTCATTCAACTGATAAAGCATGGAAGTCCTTAATTCCAAATATTATCACCCTGTGGTTATTAGTTATTGAGAAGTCATTTCAATATGTTAACACATTTGATCCTTATAACCTTAAAAGTAGGTAAAGATCATCTTCATTCGCAAGCTTTGTTGAGCTAAATCTAAGGAAGCTACTTGCCAAATATCACGACTCTTTGCCTTTTGCTTTTTTAAAAGAAGCCGTGTGCAGTTTTTGCCATATTTGACCCCTGTGACTTTAAAAAAGTAGGTTGCGGTAATGTCCAATCGCAAACTTTGTCAGGCTCCACCCGTGGAAGTTACCAGCCAAATATTATTATATGATTATATGCCTTTCAGTTCTTCAGAAGAAGTCGTTTAAAGTATTTTACTTATTTGACCCCTTTGACCTTGATAGTGGATCCAGGTTATTTTCATTCGCTAACTTTGTCGGACTCAATCCCAAGAAGCTACCAGCCAATAAATAAGATTCTATGAATTTCAGTTCTTCAGAAAAAGTTGTTTGAAGTGTTTCACATATTTGACCCCTGTGACCTTGAAAGTATATCCAGGCTATGTTAATTCGCAAACATTGTCAGGTTCCATCCCAGAAAGCTACCAGCCACATATTATAATTATATGCCTTTGGATTACTCAGAAGAAGTCGTTTGAAATGTTTGACATGTTTGACCCCTGTGGTTTTGAAGTAGGTTTAGGTCAATTTTATTCTCAAAGTTTGTCGGGCTCCATCCAAAAAA